ACAAACACATATTCCATTTCGCATTTTGGAGATGTGTGTCAGTGGAAACAGCCTTGGTATCTCCTACTCGGTATATTTTGGTATCTTCTTCAAAGTTTCGTGGTATCTTTTAAAGGTTGCACTGCATTCACACTAGATACAGCAAAATTGGTTCTTTCGGTTTTTTTTTGCTACACATAGCATTTAATTGGTTAAAAACAAACCGCCAAGAGATCGCGATTCGCGAAATAAACTTGAAACCGACAAGAAACCAGCAGACGTCCAAAATGGCCATTGCCGAGCATGACAACGTCTTCATTTTTGTGCCAAATTTGATTGGTGAGTTGTTGTGTTGTTGTTGTTGTTGTTGTTGTTGTTGTTGTTGTTGTTGTTGTTTTTGAAGATCCAGATTGGGGTAAACAAATCGCATGTTCGATTTATGCGGCGCAGTTCAAGTGTTTTGGGGTGTTCCCTAATTGGATTTATAGGGGATGTTTGGCAACCTGTGCAATGCAGGGCGCAAGTTCATCACCCACCACCCACCACCCACTGCCCCACTGCCAATGTCACCCCGACCCAGTCCGCGGCATACTAATGACATATTGACATTTTTCCAGGCTATGCCCGCATTATTCTGGCCCTGATCGCGTTCTGGTTCATGTCCACCAACTATGTGATCTCCGCCTGGTGTTATGTAACCTCCGCCCTGCTGGACGCCGTAGATGGACACGCCGCCCGGGCCTTTAACCAAAGTGAGCACCGATCTCCCCTCCCCCCTTGAAGTCCACAAGAAGACAGCACTAGCCATAGATATATGCACATATCTGTATCTGATTTGTTCGCGCACTTTGGCCGCAACACCTGTCTCCACAATGGTTATCTGCCGATATTTGATTTAAATGGCACGCCCAGTGAACCCAATATGGTCACGGCTGGCTAGCCAATCGATGGGTGACGTGAGCCCACAAAATGGACTGAATGCAGGGCTAATATTGCGAACTATAGTTGGCCAATATATATAGCTAACTATCCAATCTATACTGACTTTATTGCTAACGATCTTATCTATATTGGTAACTATTTTTCAAGGTAACTACTTGTTCAAGGCTAAGTAAGCCCTGCTTTCTGTCCGTTTTGTGGCACCACTAATCACTAAAAGGAAATTTGCTTGTAAACATTCTTAAAATGTGCTTAGAAGATCCGAGAACATATAAGCAATTGATGATATGGTAGTACAAAGCTGCCTTCACTTTCCAGATTACTCCAAATAATATGCCATTCCTTATTTTGAATAACTTTTGATAGCCCTTGTAATGAGGTGTTTTCCAAAGCTTTAATATACTTAGCCCTTTTGTTATTGCTTAGTCATCAGTCATAGTCATAGTCATAGTCCATGGTCATTTATAAGTCAGTACTTAATAGCTTAGGGAATGCGAGGCCAATATTTGATGATTGCCAAACCACCTGATTCTACTCCAACCTGCAGGCACTCGCTTTGGGGCCATGTTGGACCAGTTGACCGACCGCTGTGGCACCACCGGCCTGCTGGTCACCCTGGCCTACTTCTATCCCCGGTACATGTTCTGGTTCCAGCTGTCCATCGCCATCGACGTGGCCTGTCACTGGCTCTTCATGCAGACGTAAGTGGAACGCGTTGTCTGTACTGTGCTGCCGGTCAAGGTCTCTAAACTATTGTCTTTTGTTGTACCTGCAGGAGCGTTGTGGTTGGACGCAGCTCGCACAAGGTTAACGATAACTTTCTGATGCGGCTGTACTACCAGAAGGACATCCTCACCTTCATGTGCTGTGTCAATGAGCTGTTCTACGTGTGCTTGTACCTTTTGCATTTCACCTACGGTCCCCTGAGTGAGTATCCATATGCGTCGTCATTTGGACTCTGGCACCTAATCTAATCGGTATTTGCCATCCATCCATCCAACCAACCAACCAACCAATTGCAGTATTCGGCGCCTCGCTCTTCAAGATACTCGCCTTCCTGACGGGTCCCTTTGCCGTGCTCAAGGCCCTGATCTCGGTGATGCACGCCTATGTGGCGGGCGTCGATCTGGCCGCCGTGGATGTGCGCGAGCGACAGGAGAAGCGACAGAAATCGGAGCCGGTGGCCGGCAAGAAAGTGGAGTAACTCTGATCCGGAGCATGATCTTCCACGATCGCCAGTACTCTTAGCATAAAGTACTAAAGCGAAAACAACTCTAGATTCCAAGCAAAACAAAACACGAAAGTAAAACGGAAAGCGATCAGATTAAATAGTTTTGGGCATTAGGCAACCAAATAGGCCGTAGTATATTTTAAATTATTTTTATGCGCTATTGCAAGATTGTTGACTTTTATATTATATTTTTTAGTTAGACGGGTGACTGTGAGATCACCCGAAAAATTGTATTTAAATAATTTTTGAATTTAAATTGAAATTCAAGCGATTCGTTCCAGTCAGTAGCTGTTGCATATTTATTTTGCCTTTAGTTAAACGTAATTTACAATTTCTGTGACGCTTACACCCAATATATATATATATATATATATATTTTACATATATTCAGGCCAATATATGCATGAGTGTCTATTTCCAGGATTTATCTCATTGTGTACGTTTTTGGTTCGGCTAACGACCCTCACCCAGCAATTTTCTCAATGTAACTAATGTATTTCTAATCGTAAGTTAAAAGAATGTAATTGGAGACCTGCAAGAAATATATGAAAAATGGATGTTAGATGTATGTATGTGGGCATGTGCCAGGCCTGGTGGACTAAGTCAAAATTATTGATGAAAAGTAGAAATAAATATACGTGGTGTTATGTGCTAAATTGCTGTTTTCCTTGCTATTTTGGCCCCTCATTTTTGGCCTATTAAGTTTGAAATTTGCGCCCAAAAATGTATCGCTTTACTTGACAATATATACATATTTTTGCGGAAGCCCTCGCTTGCCGCTCAGCTGTTGACGCAGTGCAGCCCTGATTTTTACACAACAACATAAACATTCTCGGCCGGAGAAGGAGGAGCATTTTTGCGATACAAAAACAAATCTGCCGGAGCACGGCAGATGCTCTGATCACGGGCGGATGTGGAGCAGGAGCAGCCAAAACCGGTATCGCCATGAAGATCCTTTCCCGTCTGGGCAGCCTGGTGCGCTACACGGTCGCCTATGCGGCCATCACCCACTGCACCTTCGAGTACATCGGCGACTTCGTCCTGGTGAGTTTTCAGGGATCACACGTACTGTACCTGGGCACCGTTATGATCAGTGTTGTCACTCGGCCGGGTACCTAGGTGTGTACCTGAGTCATCTAGAATGGTGTACTTTGCTATGCTCATATGGCAACCGTTTTAAGTCAACTGTGCACCTATGTACCTTGGGTACTTTTGCTTAGATTTGGGTACAAAAGATTTTCAAGTACTGGTCTAGAATATTTAGGTATTTACTTTAAATAAAAATTTGATTATTTGATAATATTTATTTTACACATTTACAATACAATAGATGACCTAGTATCTCCATTTGCAGTGCAAAGGGCCCTCTATGGAACCCACTCTCTACTCGGACAACGTGCTGCTCACCGAGCGTCTGTCGAAGCACTGGCGAACCTACCAGCCCGGCGACATCATCATCGCCGTATCGCCCATCAATGCCGGCCAGTACATCTGCAAGCGGATCGTGGCCGTTTCCGGTGAACAGGTGCTCACCCAGAAGCCAATCCCCATCGAGGCGGAGTACAGCGTGACTAAGGACGGTGGTGGTGCCGCCGCCGACAAAAAGAAGCCCGTGATGACCAAGGACTATGTGCCGCGCGGATACGTTTGGATCGAGGGCGACAACAAGGGAAACAGCTCGGATTCGCGCTACTACGGACCCATCCCAGTGGGCCTCATCCGGAGTCGCGTGCTCTGTCGCATCTGGCCGATATCCGAGGCCACTGGTCTCTAGATTGGCTTGCCGTTAATGATTTAATCTAGGTTGACTCATCCCAGTCGGCTATTTTAATAGGAAATTCACTTGGACCCATTTTCTTGGAGATCCATTTCGCGAGAGGATTCGTCTCATTTGTGCGAATCTTTGGGTGTGATTGAAAATAAACTAGAAAAACATTTGAAAAACTGCCAGAACCATATTTATTCAATCATATTTAAATCTCCAACTTTGAAATTCAATGTAATGCCTTTAACATTCAATTCATTCTTCACCAAAAAAAATCATGAAACAAAGAATTCTGTAAATTAGTAAATTGGCACCTTGATATAGAAAGATTTAAATTGCTTTTAAAGAATGTAAATAAAAAATGCAAATAAAATGTAATTGTGATTATAAATATTAATTACGATTATTAATTACATATTACATTACATTCTATGCAGTGAATGTAATTAAAAGATATATGGAGGTTTTTTTTTACAATTCTGGAAAAATATTAAATTAGATAGCAAGTCTGGAAAAAAAATAGAATTTACCCAATATTCTGGTTTAAAATAATTAAAAACAAATAACTTTATAATTACTTTTTTAAAAAATTATTGTTTTTAAAAACATTTTTACTTAAACATACTCTATATAACACTGTATGGTTCCTAAATTAAAGCTACATACTAATTTTTAATCACATTCTCTTTGACTTTGTTATAATGAAAGAATTTTTGGCTTACAAAACCTACCTTTCTTATTGTCATCTCATCGGCAATGTCCGAGTTTGGTTAGGTTTGTTAAATACAGAATTTTTACTATTAGAGTGTTCGTTAAATTTAATTCTAGCGTTTAATTTCTTTTCTAAGCTCTGATACGAATTTTGCGGCTTAAAAACTGATAAAAAATTATCTTTATAGATCCGTTAAAAGTGAATTCATTAGGAACTTTTGTTTGCTTAAAAGTATTTTAAAAATATATGCTTACCTCTCAGGAACTTTAGATATAATCCCTTATTTCGCGTTTGAGTTTGTTTTTAAGGAAAAACAGGACGAAGGATCTAAGATGTATGAAATGTATCCAAAGCAAAAGTGATGTAAAGGTGAGTGATTTTTAAAACATATATACAAAATAGCGTTTATTTAACTAAATTATGAACATTTCAATGTGCTCTTGTGCTGCTTCTGGGTTGGAAAGGAAAAAGCTAAATAGGTATTGCACTATGAATTTGGCCACTTAACCTTCAAGTCTCACGAATTATTTTGATCCTGCTGCTGCTCCTTTTGCTCCCGCTCCACGTAATACAGGTTGTACTTCTTCTTGAGCACCTGGTGCACATCGTCGCGACAGGTGATGCTTAGTCCGCGCTTCTGGTAGTCCAAGAAGGTGCAGACGAACTGCCTGTTCGTCTCGTGCACGTGCGGATGCTGCAGATACTCCGCGATGGGCATCCACTGGAGGCGCGCTATCTCCCGCTCGCACCGCTTGAAGTCCAGATTGAGGGGCTTCAGGGCGACGACCACGTAGAGATCGGAGCAGCCGAAGGTGCCGCCGTGGGCATGCCGCAGAGTGACCACCGACCGAAACTCGGTCCGGATGCCCGTCTCCTCGGCCACCTCGCGCATCGCCGCATCGATGAGATTCTCCCGCGGCTCCACATAGCCGCCGGGTAGCTTCCAGCTGTTGGGTATCATCGCATACCGTTCGGAGACCACCAGGACTTCGTCCTGGTCGTTGATCACCAGCCCGCCCACGCCCACCAGCGTGTGGGCGTAGGTGGGCAGGTTGTTGGACTCTTGCTCCGGCAGCCAGCGGTACATGACCACCACTCCCGTCCGAGCGTGATGGAAATCGAAGCCGTTCTCCGCCAGAATGGGCACCCAATCGGCCTGCTCCTTGTATACCCGGAACCAAATGGCCCGATTCTTATTCGTCGTCCAAAAGTCCAGCGATTCTGAAATGTAATTAAATTAATAAAGGTCGAAATTAATTTCATTTTAAAATGTTTAAGAAATTTAATTTAATTTTAAATTTAAAAATTATAGTTTTTAAACTGATTAAGATACAAAGCCAGATTTTCTTGTGTTGTTATAAAACTGCCTTCGAAAGTACATATATGCATATAAATATGGGTTTAATTGTGGATTGATAAGGTTTTAATTAATTTTTGATAACAACAAAGTTTTACTTATTGGAAAATAAAAATGTAAAACAATTATCTCAGAACAAAATATTTGGAAATAAATTCTTAAACATAAACTTTTCAAACGATTACTATACAAAGCGGAATTTTTAGGGATTACAAAGCATATTTAGTTTCTCAAACATAAATAAATAATTGTACTCTTAACACTTACGAACACAATTTAGAAATGTATTTACTTTACTTACTCTGCAGTTTATCCCGGAAGCTGGATTTATCCACGTTCTCCTCGCGTCCATCAACTGTGACTCCGGCAAAGCGGTCCGTCAGACCGCGAAACACACCCTCCGGTATTTCCATGACTTTAGAGCTTTAGGGTGGATTATAAATCGCTTTTTAAAAACGTATTCAACTGGATATGTACACTGAAGTACTTACGCTGGGTATGCTCGTGTAAATGGACGCTGTGGCTGTTGCTGTTCCAGAACACTTGGTTGGATTTTATGGGCTGCCGTGGATGAGGGGCGATGTCTAGCGGTGCGGAGAAGCGTCCTCCATGAATTGAACGCCGGCAGGTTTAGAACGTTTCTGCGAGCCAGAAGACCTGGGGCCAACATTAAATATTCGCTCAATTCGACGGAAACGACGTGGATGGCGACGATGACGACGACGGCCGACTACGTTGGCGTCTCTAGCTCGGAACCGGGGAGATCTGGCAGCCCGGGAGTGGGCGTTACGGCTGTGACGGCTCTCTGTACCTGTATATTCCAATTCCGATGCGAAGCCAATCCCTGGGCATGCTGCGAGCGAGAAACGAGTCAAAGGGACAGGTGAGAAAGCCGCATGGCTCCAAATACCTATGCAAATCCGATGGGGCTGTGCCACTTAAGCAAGGGGGAGCAGCAGGTGGCCACTATCTCTCGCCGGCGCAAGATAAGCGATATGGTATGGTCGGTGTTACGCTCGTATTCGGATTTCTGCTCATGACATTTCGAATTTGGCGCTAACCTATCAGTATCCCAAACGTGCAACAGAGATGAGCCAAAAAATGTGACTGACATTAAAATAAGAACAATTGGGAAATGTAAAATGCACAATTTAAATGGCTATCAAAAATAGTTCTTATCTGAAATAACTAAGAGATGTAGCCTTTCAAATCGAATTACTCTATGTAATTTAATACAAAACGTAGTTCCCAGGGAAGTCAACCTTTTGAAGCGAACTTCTTAACCGGTTCGTGAAACTGTGACTTCTACCCAAAGTAACGGACCGTTACGGTCACAGTCACCATTCGTAGCTCATCTCTATCGCAACCTTGAGCGGCAACCCAAGGTGCGTGTGGGTGGCGGGTGTTTGTGGGGTCGTTTCAATTGTTTCCGCATGGGTTTTGTGTATGTTTATCAGCTGAGTGGCTGTTGTTATCAACGCGTCAGACAATTTATGCGCACTTTACATAACAAACAACGCCAAACACAGAAAATGCAGTCAAATCAAATGCTTTTTTTCTTTAAGCTATCAACAGCTTTGTTTTCAAACTTACTAGCAAACCCACTGGTTTAATGGTGTCACTGAGCGGATCTGTCCAGTTCCAGACCACTAATTAAATGATCCAGCCATGGACTTTGGCATAAACAAGCGAATAAAACAGCGCGCGATTTCAATTCTCTTCCACTTCCACCAGCACGTTAATTTCTAGGGATGGGAAACAAAAGTCAATCAGCTGATTCGGCAGTGGTGACACTTTGGCTTTTTTCCCTACAAAACAGCTGTTTTTCTATTTCCATAGCTATTTTATATTAAAAATATATAAATATAATAAATATAAAAATAAAATATAAAAAAATATAAGATTTTAAAATTTATCAGAAGCTATATTTTCACCTGGATACTATATTTTAAAATAAAAGAAATGCTTTTAAACAAAACACTAGCTATTCTTAGAGATGGGTAAACTATTTTGGTTAAACTTCCGTAAAGTGTGTAATTTGTTTGAATATTTGTAAACAATTTTATAATCATGAAATTATTCAATTGTTCTAGACAATGTAGAAAGGCACATTAATATATAAATTTGATTATAAATTGCTATAAACAGGATACAGCTTGAAGGTATATATCCAAACGATTGTTTTAACGTATTTTTTTTTTAAGTTCAAACGCTTATTGTTACTTAATGCGCAATTTATTGGAATTTGATTGTCTATCTATCAATGTCTACATTGGCATGCACATTTGAAGTAAAGGGTGTGGCCCGTTGATTCGGGGCGATCGAAAACGGATCAACGGAGCTTTTACGCATGGCTTTCATCCGGGACCCGGATGTTGGTCCTCGGATCGGGGGTGTCCTGGCGATGCAGAGGCTGGTGCAACCAACGGTGACGAAGGGCGTCCAGAGCGGAGATGCGTTTGCTCGGATCTGTTCGCAGCATTGGCTCCAGGAAGGACACGAAGTCCTTGGCCTCCAGGCGCGCCCAGCCATGTTGATTCACCAGGACATCGACCAGCGAACGCGGCTGCAGGGTGGTGATGTTGCGCAGCTGGCCACTGGGCTCGAAGACTTCCATCGAGTAGTCGCCCACGTCGATCAGTTTGTAGGGAATCGGTCCGCAGGTCTCAATGATGCTGGCAATGTGCACCTCATCCTGGCTGGCCCTTCCGCGCCTCACCTGCGGATCGAACAGATACTTGCCGGTGGCCAGCTCCCAAAAGAGGCAGGCGGCACTCCAGATGTCCGCGGTCTCATTGTAGCCCGCGCCCAGGATCACCTCCACCGACCGATACTCCCGCGTCTGGATGTCGTCGGTGTAGTGGCGATCGAACCAGCACCCATTGCCCATGTCCGCAATTTTCAGCTTCAGCTCGCAATCTTGGGTGGCCGGATCCCTGGAGGCAATGATACCCCAATTCGGCTCCTTGCTGTTGCCCTTGCGCTTTTCTGCCTTGGCCTGCACGAATGAGGAATAATATTCTATAATTTTAAGATGAAACGGAATATGTGTATTGCTTAACACCCTAAGAACTCATCGTATTCTAAATGGTTTTTATATCGTGCCCAATTCATTAATTACTAGTAACTCTAGCCGCGGGATTATTTAATTAAATTAATATGCACTTAAAAAAAGGTGATAGTGATTTTTTCTGAAATTTCTTCAAAATCAAATGCTTTTCTAGAAAATTATTTACATTATTTACTAGCCACTCTCGATGTGGGAATTTAAATCATTAAAAATTACCTAATTGTTTTCTGAAACTTTTTAAGTCATAAGTCCTTAAATTATGGAAAATAGAAAATATTTCTATTTTTTTTAGAAAACAAGCGACAATGTATTTTAAAGTGAAACTGATCATGTGTATTGCATATAATTTGTAAGAAATAATTTGATTTTTTGTTAGAAAACAATTTTACATTTCTGAAAAGCGTAAATAACTTTTTATGACAGTTTTATAGTTTTATAATATTTTCTGGAAAATATAAAATGGTTCTAGTTTAATTTAAAAAAATATATATATGAATATTTTCCTATAAAACATTTTCATTTTCTATAAATCATCCTATATAGGTATCAAAAAGTATGCAACAATATAGTTTCACTCCGGATATCCGAAGGATTTCATACTTTTAGGCAACTTTTTTCTGTGTGATCTTCCCTTAACATGCCATACCGAGTAAGATGACTTCTTCCGTGTGCCTTTGGAGTGCTTCCTGGCACCCTTGTGCTTCCTGCCCGGCTGGTGGCGATTTTGTTCCGCCAGATCCGATTCCGTGACCTTCTCCTGCACAAAACGCATAAACTCCTCCGGACTATGGGACAAGAGCCTCAAGGCGGAGGACCTGGCGGGATTCGTTGGCAATGCCGAATTCCATCGGCGGCGGCGTGGGATATTGGGAAGGCTATGCGAACGAGTGAGCGTTCCGGGGGCGGGCACATCGCCCCTATCCCACATGGACTCATCATTCTCCAGCTGCAGCTGCAGATCGCGCAGATCGCTGTCCTCGAGGATGACCAGGCCGTCGAAGGAGAATGGCATGAAGGGCAGCTGGCCGGTGACGCCCTCAACGGCGGTCATCGGCTGAAGGAGTCCCTGTGCCGCCAGACCCAGCAAATCCTCGATGGCCCGCTTGCGCAGCCACTGTCGGTGCTCCTGGAAGAAGGTGACGCTCCGCTTGGCCTGTGCCCGCATCTTCCTCTTTGCCGTCTTGGTCAGCTTGACGTGCTCATCCTGGCCACTGTGATGGCTATGACGCACAGAACCAAGTCCATGTCTGCGGAAGGTTTTAGTTAACTTTACTGCCATACAAAAAATGTGCTATTTTGTTGAAACTAGTTTCATGTAGCTAAACTTTCCATCCCCCAGTCGATTTCGAGAAACATATTTTTTTTTGGCCTAACTACGCAGTTTTTATAAGTGGTGACGATTTATGGCCATGATTTTTGTCAATAAAATTATAAAAATAAATAAATTGGTTAAATTTAAACATTTTTAGCTGTGAATGCCAATTGATTGGAAATTTTATGATGAATTCGACGATGTATAATATTTAAACTTAAGACCATTACTTTCTAGAATTTTAATACAAAAACCGATTTGATAATTGTTTTTTTTTTGGGTGTTTGAAGATTTGTGAAAAAAAAACGTTTTTTTATAGTTGCTTTGTTGTAAAATTGTTCTGTGCAACTGGCGACCTATAATTTCTATTCGATTTAAACAACAAATTTTATAACCAATTTTTGCATAAACACATTTCTTAAGTCTTTTTGTTGTAGCATAGGAAATCCTTTTTTACGATTTCTTGCAAAATTCAATAATTTTAAGTTAAACATTCCCAATAATAAAAATAAATAATAAATCCAAATTTATTAAAAAAAAAAACTATTTACGGTATCCAAATCTCAATGTTCAGACGGACATGACTGGATCAACTTGGCTATTTATCCTTTTGATCAATAACATATAAGTATTTATATATACTTTTTTACATAATTTTAAAACGAATGCAAAATATCCTTTTCACTTTACGTGTGATGGGTATAAAAATGTTAAAGCCATCAGAATTTGCCAATTTCAGGGTTAGTTTTGGATGTTGTACGAACCTGGTTCGGTGCTGCTGTTGCTTCTGGGAGTGAACCCCCAGGAAGTCGGTGGCTGCCTGGCTGGCCCGACCCCGGATCGCCACATCGTCGGCCACCAGCAGCACGTTCTCCGGCTTGAGGTCGGTGTGTATGATCTCGCAGTGCTCGTGCAGGAAGCACAGACCCTCGAGGACCTGCAGCGCTATCTGCTTGATGTTCCAGAGGGGCAGTCCCTGGTAGCGTGACCGCTGGATGAGGGTGAGCAGATTGTCGCCGAGGACCTCGAACACCAGACAGAGGTGCCTGCCATGCGGGCCACTGACGTAGAATTGGTCGAAGAACTCGACGAGGCGGTGGCGCAGTGGATGCCAGTCGCAGTTGTCCAAGGCGCGGAGCAAGCGGATCTCATCGCGGGCAGTTTCCATGAACTGATCCCCCGACTTGACCACCTTGACGGCACAGTAGCGCTCCAGTTGCTCGTCGAAGCACAGCCAGACGGTGGAGAATTGGCCCCAGCCCAGCTTGCTGATGGCATAGTAGCGATTGTGGAAGATGTCGCCCACGGCCACCGGATGGTAGCCACCCTCGCGGTACTCATATGAGTTCTCGTTCATGCCGTTGTTCTGGCTACTGTTCTCGTCCCCGTCCCCGTCCACGTCCCCTTCCACGTCCCCGTCCCCGTCCACGTCCACGTCCCCTTCCACGTCCACGTCCACGTCCTCCTCCTCCACATCCACATTCACATTCACATCCACATCCACCTCCTCCTTGTGCCCCAACACAAGGGTGGAGTCGGATTCCTCCGAGCACACAACAAAGCCCTCCATGTTCACCGAGCGCATCCGGAGCGGCAGCTCTAAATCATCCTCCAACGACGGCTCCTCGAAGCTCTCGTATCGCGGATCTGCCCCCGTGCGGTAGACGCTCTGCAACTGGTGACCCAGCTGCTCCAGGTTCTGGCTCATCGTCGGGTAGAGCTTCTGGATGGGGCTCTCCATCTGCGCCTGCATCTGGGACTTCATGCGATCTTGTGTATGTACCTCGTCCGACATTAGAACTCGATTTGGCTAGCTTCAGTGAGGAATAGGCCAGCTAAAGTTTAGTCTTAGATCACTTTTCGTTGCTTACCAAAAGGTATCGATGAAATGCACCCAAATCCAAGATGAACCAACAACAACAGTCTATAAAACCTTTTTCAAACACTCTCAAATCGGGAAATATGTTCCGATTAGGCTTGTAATATTTGCTTCTTTAAAGCTGTGTTCCAACGATTTCCTAGTGAAGGAGAAGAACGTGTGTTAGTATGGTGAAAAAATATAAATGACATTAGAAATGATGGTGAAACTCGAGCGACTTGGCAATCCTAAAGCACACAGTGACATTAGTGCATAACGTTGTCCAACACTCTTTTTATTGGTCTTCCGTTCATTGTTCATTGGTTAGCTATCAGTTATCAAGCATTGACATTAGTGCTTAAGGTTGTCCAACACTCTTTTCTATGGTCTTCCGTTCATTGTTCAGTTATCAATCATTGACATTTAGTGATTAAGGTTGTCCAACACTCTTTTTGATGGTCTTCCGTTCATTGGTTAATTATCAGTTATCAAGCTAGATGGCAACTCACATGTGCATTAACTTCCATGTGTATGTGTGTGTTCCGTCGTCTTCTTGCCTCCTTTCTACAAAAATATACGTTTGTCTGGGCAAAATGATTTCTTGACTGAAGCGGCAACTGTTCCGTATGCCTCCGTTTGTTTAATAAATATATTTCCTACTTAATGTTTTGACAAACTTGTGAGCTGTTCGAATGATGTCGTCCAGCGACAAGTTTAGTTTGGCCCTCTGTGATGAAGGCCGATACAAATGACAAACAGATACTAGATGTCATTATCAAGAAATAAGCAAAATTACTTTATTATTATATCTAGCATTATTAAAATCCAAACCAATTTTTTAAGACTCATTTATTAATTGATCTAAGCTCTAGTTCTGGGGCATTTGTCTAACATCATAGGTTAGCTATATGTAAACCTCCTATAGTTTTACATTTTCCTTTAATTTAGCTTAGACTTCCCTAAAGATTTATGTACAATTAAACATAATTTTTTTTTGTGCCCAGTTTGGCCCATTTCTCTTTTTTTTTTTTTTTGATTTTCCCAAATCGAAATAGTTGTGCAATTGAGGGCGAGTCCTTTGTGCGAGTTTAGTGATTCGGAAAAGGCTATTTAGAGCAACAAAGCGATAGTAACCAGGAATCGGGAATCAGGAACCAGTTACCAGTTTACAGCGCGATTGAAGGGATTATAATGGATCGTAAAGGGATTGTAAATCTGTTGCAAATGCACATTGGCGAGAGTCAGCATGGGGGATGTCCTTGTTCCATATATGTAGGTGCTCAGGTGCTTCAAGTTGGATAACAATAGCTCCCATTGATCTGCACACTCGTTCCTGTTATTATGTTTGTATTTTGATTGCCGACTTAGCAATTTATTTTTTTTTGGGGGAGAAATTCCCAAAATATATAATAAAAAAAATATAATAAAGTTACCCCTCTCTCCAGCGGGCGAATTTCCGAAATTCCGAATTTTCGAATATTTGCTCAGTTGTTTAAACAAATTTTCCGCTTAGGGTTGCTGCTCGACCTCCTGTTTGCACACAATGGATTTCCATGCGTTGGTTCGAGTGAAAATACCAAGTCAAATATTTATTAAAAAATCTATGGCTGGTTGGTTGTCACATTTTCCACCGTCGGCTTATCGAAAACCTTCAACTTTGAATTCGGTGGAAAAAAAAGAAATCGGGGTTTTTAGGTTCCCATGCGTAGTACTATTACTATGGTTCTCCTTCAACCCTTTTGTCATTTTTAAGCGCGCACCCGGAAAATTCTTGTTTGTAATTAGGGAGTTTTCCTTATCATTTATTCCAATGCCTTCGGCATTTGGCATTCGGCATTGTTTCTCCTCCAATTAAGCGTAATTTCAAGTGTCCCGTTCCTGTATTTGTCCAAAACAATTTCAAAACACGAAGAAAAGGCGACGTCGCGTTTTGAATTTCACTCTCATAACTGGTTGGCCTGCTAATGAACTGTTTATATGCAGACAATGGTTGGAAATGGAAATAAATTAACGTCGATTTTCCCGTTTTAAGTCGGGTGGGTGTGCCATCGCCAGCTGAAGGGATAAACCTTTTTTGTTTTTTTTTGCTCGTCTATAAGCTCAACTGAAAGTCAGGTAATGAGCAATGCAAAAGGCTTTTTTTTTGTTTGAAGGAGTGATAAGCGGAAAATTAACTATTATTAAGCCATTTGCACACACCCCTTTAGCCAGCCTAATTTTACTTATATTTTTTATTTTGAGCAATTTTTAAAATTAGCTTTTAACCACTTTTTGTACTTTGTTTAAATTTTTTCTTTTGTCATAGTAAGAATGAAGCCTGAGAAAAATGTTTGTACTTAATGGGAACGCTGATAATATATAAATATATATTTGGTGTCTTGGTTTCTTATTTCTTGTATTTATTTTTTTTTTTTTATATATTTAAAATTCATCAAAAATATACATACACATGAATCAATCCCCTACTTTACTTATCTTTACTATTTTCTAATATTGACAGGGAACACTTTAAATATTTTAAAAAATAGCTTTACACCACTGACTTGAACTTTTGTTTTCTATTTAAGTAATTAAAATTCATCAAGAATATGTGTATGCATGTACGTATTTAATAATTCTTAATCCTCAATTCGATTTTTTGTTCATATTTTTTTAATGCCTAACAGCCTAGCTGCTTATGTCATATTTTCCATTGCAGCATCTTTTGAGGGATCATGAAAATTTGATAGGCGAGCAATAGGTTCGGTGCCCACTGATGTGTGTCTAAATAACTTACAAGTAATAAAAATGCGCTGTGGGACAGTAGATGGCCGCGGGATGGACTCGCTCGCTCGCTGGATGTTTTCTTAATTAATTTCCCGTGTTTTTCCTTGGGCTTGAAAGGGCCATTCCCGATTGCCTGCAGCATCCGAGGGGTCGAAGGGTCAGAGGGTCACAGGGTCAAACGCGGATCGGATGATGAATGGAATGCTGGACTGGGATGCCGGAGCAAAGGGTTGCGCGAATGCCCTAATCCAATTACCGCGATTGACCGCGTAGTCGCACGCACATTTCCAAATCATGTTACAGCTTATAGAGATATGAATTGCTGTCGGATTAAAATTGTGTATATAAAACACCTAAATAACTGTTCCAATTAAACAGCTTACAGTTTACAATTATGTTCAGGTGTTGCAGGTTTTCCTTTTGTATTCAATTAGTTTATTTGTTAATTGGTTAGTTAACATGCATTTTTACCAATTTTTGCTTATAACTTCTTGACAAGTATAAATCAGCTAACAATGGTAATACATTTTTTTTGCTGTTTATATTCTGCACTTAAATGTGTTTCGCACAATGCGCCAGGATCAAGTCCTTTTTGATCGATCGTCGGAGTTATGTCGTCTGGTTCTTTCGTCCTTCTTGCGGGGAATCACAAACAGATGGAGACGCCACGCCGACAGCTGTCCTTTGGGTGTTGCCTCCGCCGGAGATTTTTCACTTTTCCATTGTTTGCGACGCTTCCTTTTTGTCAATGTGCAGTTACGTACGTACATAACCGACTTGTCCCCGTTTTTTTTCTTTTCCTCCTTTTCCAACTTCTTCCCTTCGGTTGTCCCCCGATTTCCCATTCCCATTTCCATTTCCATTCTTTAGATTTGATTTTTTTCGCCAGTGTGTGGCATGTGCCGCTCCATTGTGTGCCAATTGGCAGAGCAGCTGCTCCTCTTCCATTGTTGTCCTTCGAGTCATTGTCGAAATCCAGCAAAATGCGCCAATTACGTTGCTCATTATCTTCGAACTTGGAGCGGGAATTGGAGGTGCAACTGGATCAAGATCACCTCAGCTGCCGTACTTTTATGGCACTGAGCTTCCGCGAAGTCGAGGACTTTTTTTTGTTACATACCTAAAAAAAGTGTCAAAACAAGCTTAATTAGATAGGGGAATTTTACTTTATAGATCATTCATAGTGCCCATTTTACAATTAAGTAAATGTTTATATTATTTTTTTTTTCATATGGACACCTGAGTGAGTAACAAATATATATTAGAATTCTGAAATGCGTGATATTTTTAGGTCGAATTTATATGTTAATGTATATATTTTTTTCATTTGAAGTTAAGCTACTACTATTCAACTTATAGCATTTAAAATTGAATAAATCTCTGTTACGATTTTCTAATAATTTCGATACCAAAACCATTCAAAAGGTGCAACTGCAGTTTACATCCTGAGTGTTTTATCGTTGTGGGAAATTCGTGGCTTGATTTTCATTGGGAATCACTGGGATCATTCATCACGCCATTCAGCGGCAGGATATGCCGCAGGATATGACGCTGCATAAAGTGTCCAGCTCCAGCGTTCGGCGATCGTTACACAAACCACATCCTGCGGAGATCCTGCCGCACAAAACGCCATTGTGTCCAACGGTTTGATGATCTAGAAAACGCATCGAATCAAGCGAATCTCGGCCAGGATGTGCAGCTGTCCGGCGGGAAGTCATCGCCGCAGTCACTTCTGTGTCACTGTGTCATCGAGCCACCGTGTAACCGTGCATCACCCCAAAGGACCGCAAAGTTCGCGCCCATGTCGCGGCCGCTGTAATCCTTTAACTGTCACAAAGCCAAAACAAACAACGCCAGGGCCAGGGGGTCCGGTGAACCGAGTGAGCGACCTCTTCATTACACGGCGACAATTTGGGCGGGTCAGCAAGCAGAATGCAATCAAGGGGCGGTTCAGCGGCTCGGAAAATTATGCAACACGACGCAGGATTAGCGTCGCGATTCCTGATTGCCGATCCTGATTTCCGATCCCGATTCCCAAGCCAACGACTGACCCCTGCGCTTGTTTTTATTGCCTTGTGTCGGACAATTGAATCTGTGACATAAATTTGGTGTAAACAGCTTTGGTCAGCTTTGCTACCTGGCCAACAAAAATAGAGTTGTCAATGGCAATGGCACATAAATCACATAAATCATTAATAATTACAATGGTCCGGTGATATATGGCCCTCACATAATGATAATCCATAATAATTACCTCACCTCTTCGAAAGTGTTCGAGTACTTTGACTCAACTGAAGATTTGCAACAAAAGCTCTGTAACGATGGAAAATAATATCTATAGGCCCAAATTTAATTGTTTCCTTTAAAATATGATACTTACATGGGAGATAGTGAGTAAAACACTATGAGTTCTTAGAGAACAGAACATCTGCCCTTCAAGGTCAGATTTATTTGTTTCTTGTTTATCTCCTAGTTTTAAAGAGGGAGCAAAATAGATTGACATTTATTATAAATGCAAAACGCCATAGATTAGTCTAAAAAGAACATATGGATGAACTTTTGGGTATACCCCCCAAGTTATAAGTTAATTTGGAAAAATATATAATGATAATTTCAATAAATAAATAAAAGACACAATGGGTAAACTTCGGTTTAAGAGCAAATATTCATTTTAAACAAACTCACCATAAATCAGTTAAATTGCCACATTTTGGCCGTTATTTAACGCAGTTTTTGAATCTCTACCTCGGCTAGTAGATCTCCCCTGGCAACAGGACACTAAAAACGTTCGTAATTATGCAAGGACCTGGCTTTCCGACTTCCTGGCTAAACGAAAAAAAAGAAAAAAAAGAAAAAAACATGCCACAAATGCATTAGAACGCGCTCGGTTCGGTATGCAAACATATAATTGAAAACTGTCAACGTCTGACAAATTTGCCGTCGTAAAACCTGGCGGGTAACCCTAAATTAACCCCACACAATGTCAAGGGCATAACATAAAAGCAACGCAACCAAGAGATATGGAAAAAGCGAGCCGGGGGCGGGACGAACCCATTTCCAGAAGTCATAAAGTTCTGATCGACAGCCAGTCGACCAGCAGGTCCTTGGTCCTGGGTCCTTTGTCCTGGCCTCAGAGTCCTTGGGCCGTGTTAATGTGTTAGGCGCGTGGGTTATTCTGGCACTCTGATGGTGATGGGGTGGTTTGCTCCCGAACAGTGGCTTGCAATTTGCCGATATGATCTACTGGCGGTGTACCATAGTTTTGACAGTTTATCATTATGCCGGCCCGATCCTTGACCCTTGTGGTGGTGGGTCAACCGGTCGGTCATTGGTGGTCATTACATTGTAGACATTTTGCGTTTTGTATTTAATTGATTTTCTGCACTGACCCAAGTTGCGAGGTTCCGTCATTAGCCGGGGGGGTCTCCAGATAAGTCCTTTGCGATAGCAGGGGCATGATTAATGCTCCTACATAAAGAAAATATAATATTTACATTTAAATATTCTGTGGGATCATTAAGTGCATATGTAGGGTTATGCTTTTAATTGATCCACAAAGTATTGTGTATTTTATAGTGTTTTATGAGCTGTTTGGTTTTTGTTTCACTTGTAGAGATATTTAAAAAGTTTAAACATTTATATTTCATAAATCATACTGAGTAAATGTGATTTTAAAAATATCTAATTTAAATGTATGTGCAAAGAATATTTATTGTAGGGTAATGCTTTTAATAGATTCACAAATCATGAGTCATTTTTTTTTGCTATCTAATTTTGAAAAAATATTTAAATGTGATTTTTTCTGATTAAAATGCCTATGCTTTTAATTGATCCCCAAATAATTGTATATTTTATAAAGATATATGAGCCGCGTATTTTCGCTAACAAGGTATTTAAGCAATCAAAACTTTTATATTTCAGAAATCATATTTAGTAATTTTTTGTGCTATTTATTTTTAAATATTTAAGTATGATTCTTTCTGTCAAGAGTCCAAGAACGCGTTGTTCCTTATACGAAATATACCTAATATCGATCATCAGACATTTTCTGCCCACTGGTTTTTGGCTCTTTCTCACGTCATTCCTTCGAGATCCTTTGTGTTTCCTTGTCGCTGCACACGGCGCGCCAAAAAAATTCGCACACTCTCCTTTAGAATTATTATTTGGCAAACATGCGAGCGTTGCGCACACACATAAATCTCAATCTGTCTGAAAATGTGAAATCGAAAATGAAATCATTGTGCCAAAATCCAAATTTAACCGCAAATTAGGCAATAAACAATGGCTAAAGCGGTCATGGGTTAATACGTTTAGCATCAGCATCAGCATCAGCAGTAGCAGTCACAGACAACCACCGCTCCGCCGAAGGATTGAAAGGGTTAAGGATCGAGGGGTTAAAGGTTGCGGGGTTGCGATATCGAAATCGCAATCGCAATCACCATTTTAAACGTGCGAAAAAGTGCAATGATCTCCGCTGCTTGTGCTCCAGTTTTGCCTGCTGGTGTGCAAAAGTGTCCCTTTCGTGATTCGCAATTAAAGAATATTTTTTTTTTTTTTTTTATGTAACGGACTCGATGTGTGCTATTTTAAAGAGTCCAACAAAGTAATTTAAACCAGGCAAATCTTGACAGCAATTATTTCATTTTATTGAAATTCAAGCATCATATTGGTTTAAGAAAATGGAACATAAAAGACCTGGTATCGTATTATTAATGACTCAACCATTCTTCAAGGTCATCATCGTCACTACAGGTAAGATCACTATCGGTATAATAATTGTTCTCAAAACTATACCCTTGTTCGACAATTTCATCGTCTCCAAATTCACTATCGGTAAAAATACTGTCACCAAGACTATCTAGTTCCATTTCGTCTTCGTAAGATTCACTTTCAGTGTAACTATAGTCATCAAATCCATCCTCTATTCCCATTATTTCGTCTTCGGTGTAAGATTCACTTTCGGTAAAACTATTGTCAGCAAGACTATCCTCTAGTGCAAATATTTCGTTTTGTTGAAGTTCGGCAAACAATGACTGCCAGATTGTCAAGTTAGCTAAATGGATAATAAGGCATATATGAGCAACTATTAAGTGTTGTTCTTTATGGCTTACCAATAATTCGAATTAAATTGTTTACAATGAAATCCATTTTGATATTTAATAGATCTTTTAGCAGAACAATGTATGCCTCTGTTGAGTCTTTTTCGAAATAATCAAAAATCTGAAATACAAATTGAAAAAAATAGTGTTAGCTCAGAGTTATGTACCTTGTCTTAAAATAATATTAAGTTATGAATTTATTAAAATACGAAGTATTTTGCTATTAATTTTCAATAACATTTCTATCAAGTTTTATTTCAAATTTTATGGATTTTTTGTGACAAAAAGCCAAAATAAATCATTTCAATTAAGTTTATATTAGGTTTATATGATTAGAAAAATTTGAAAATCTTTTAAATAAAATTTCTGTTGAAATAGATTCCCAAAAAATTTTTTTAATTTTGTTTCTATTAATTTAAATTTAATTTAATTTAAATTCTTTTGATATACATTCTCCAAACAGGAGTTTTTGTTTTAGAATGACCATATTATTAATATTGAACAAAAGTGAAAGCATATTTGTATTTACTGATTCATAAAACAAGTGGTACTTCTGTGTAATGAACTTGGGGGAATAATGATTCAGTTTTTAGTTGAACAAACACATACAAGGAGCTGATCCACCTTCGCACGCCATATGGAGGCATTAAGGTCCCTGACAGAGTCGGTTATTTGCCATAATTGGGTTCGGGTTCGAGTCACAATTAGCGACGCCTCTGTGCCTGGACAGAGGACATATAGGACATAGAACACACCATAGGTCACCGAAGGTTCGCGGGTCCCCGAAGGAAAATGTAAATGGGAAATAATGCCAGTGCCGCGGGCTAATCAATTACGCAACCTTAAGGAAACCAAACGTCGCCGAGGGTTCTCCTTGCCCGATAAACTTTTACATTTTATTCACATTTAATTGCAGCCATGCATTAATTTGGGAACCTGATCGCATCGCATCGCATCGCTGTCAAACGTTTGACAAACTTCCCGGGGTGACATGTGATGGGATGGATTGGAAGGATTGGAAGACTTGGGCGAGATCCCATGACTGGATGGGATTCCGTTCCCATTTGGGAATGTAATTTGCATTTTAACCCTTTTCTTTGTCTAATGGCGCAAGGCGTTGCGGTCACGGCGCCGTCTCGCTCGCACTGGCCCTGTCGCGCACGCGTTGTCCTGCTCGCACCTACGCGCATGTCCATATGCGATGAAGATTTATGGAAAAGCACATGGTTTTTTGGGTCGCTTTCCACGGGAATTGATTGTATTGCATTCCCGGACTTCGCCGCACACTATTTGGGTAATTTTCTTTACAATTAAATATGCAAATGGGCACGTTAAGCGTTTATTTTTAAGGCGTTTGTTTTTTGCCATTTGCATGCGAAAAAAAATATGGGCGTTAAACGAAAGCTGTTAAAACCGCAGACGAATCCTACCAAAATATCTAGTTATCCAAATAATTAATTATCACTTACCCCAAAGATTAAAGTTCTTTTAAGATTTTTTCGGAATTCTTCCAATGACTAGCTCACGTTAGAAACGCACACTCAGATTTGCACACTGCTTAAAAGTGTTGGAAAATAAAAATCATTCAGGCTTTCTGAGAAGACGTGACAGAGTTGCCATTTGTCAATACTAAAAGGAGTCCTTACACGAGCAGATTTAGGGCACCTAATTATATGTAATTAGGTAAATACGAATGAGTATTTTAATGATATTTTGACGCCTTTTAAAATAAATTGCATAAAGGGTGATATAAGAAAATAAATTAAATACGAAAATAAATTAAATTTAAATTAATTTAAAATTAAATTTCATGTTTTGATTTTCAGCAAATTAACTTATTCCAATCATTAAAAAGCTTAAGCCCAAATCATTATGTTAATTAAAAAGGAATACAATTTATGGGTAGACTTCAATGTTAATGAAACTAAAAACTAAGTAAATTACCTTAATAATTGCTTCGTTCTTCTTACCTTTTTTTTTAGGGTAGTCATCTCGAATGCATATAAAACGAAAAAAAGACGCCCATGAAAATGCCTGGCGTTGCCACCTGACGCGTCGCATGGTGAGCTTGCAAATTTGCTTGTCTGTCACTTACTTTTCCGATTCGACTGCGCATGTGCAACGTCCTGTCCCGAAGAAAGCTCTCAATTAAATCGCCAAACAGCCATGGGTTTGCAGCACCCAAACGCAAAGGTAATTAGCCAATTAGCTGTTCAAATGCAAGTATCAAACGATGGTGATTACATTTTGCAGGTATATAATTCGCATCAGCGAAATTTGAGCTGGGAACGCGGACCTGGAAACTTTTTCCCGTTAAATGGGTGGAATACCGCTGCCCATTACATGCCCACGTCGAATGGGGCCCCGTACTCCCCACCAAATTCATCGGGGTACTTTCCGCCGTACAATCGTACTCATATTCCGCCGCACTATCCGCCGTGCCATCCGGCCATCTGTCCAACATGCGGCACAGCCGCAGCTTATACCCCGGCTCCGAGCCGCTCTGAACCGTTGCGTGGAGACCCCGTATATTTTGGGACCACTCCGGGTTACATTTACAACGGCTGTTGGTACAATTCCGGACTATCTCGTGCCGATCAAACGCAGATGCCTCAGCAACCACCGCAATCCGTGGCCAGAGATCCTCCCCAGCAACAGGCGATATATATGATGACCAATCCACTGCAGATGCCACAGCAAAACCCTCCATCTCTGCCGATTCGAGTGGCCTATTCCGAGATGCCTGCACCGCCTGCACCGCCTGCATCGCCTGCACCGCCTGCTGCAACACAGAACAATTCTGTGGTCGCTCAACCACTGGTAGTGGGTATCATGTTGCCGGCCTTAATTCCGGTCACTAGGATCGGGAACCAGGTCGTCATTGACCTCAGACAACCGCAGGTTTCTGGTCCAGTGCCTGTGCCTGTGAAGCGTAATCCTGTTGACGAATCAATGGCAAAGCTATTCAAAATCATTCAAGGAGTAAGTAGATAGACGTAGATTACATACACTAGTAGTTATACATATATTAGTTTAAAATATTGAATAATCTTTGAGCAGGTGTTTTTAGATACATGATAAAATGTTCAAAGGCGAACAAATATTTCCTTACATTATTATAAACTATTTATTTTCCCATTATTAGTAATATGTAATTCCACATTCTGTAAGTAATATAACAACATATTTCAGCGTGTACGCCGGAATCAATTCCCGCGTCACCATCAACGTCTTAGGCATCGTTTGGGCCATCGAATCATTCCTAAAAACAGAACTGCAAAAGTTGCTGGGAAGAAACTGCCGCCTGAACAGGTGCAGCAACCTGTCAATATGATATTGGTTCCCAATTCGACCCCAAATCCGGAGAACCCATCTGCAACCGAAGCTCCTGAATTGATTCAAATTCAGAAACATCAGTCTTCTGCTCAGTCTGGCAACGTGGCTGATAACCAGGCGGTAAATGATTCCATCAATGCTCCGGATCAAAAGGAGGTCGTTCAAATGACAAATATGCAAGAGGAACAATCTTCGAATTTCAACTTTATGCAGCAAGAATGTCCGGAATTTGTGGACACAGCCATCAATCAGAATGAGACTTCCGAAGTGAAGCATCAACTCGATCTTGAACAGGTGGCCACTCCGCTGATGAATCAGAATTCAGAAATGAAATCTGATCAGCCATCTATAAGTGCTGTTTTGCCAAACTCAATTGAACAGCCACAAACAGAGCAAATGCATCATATTGAACCACTGCCATTAGAGGTTACTACTGCTGATCCGACTATTCTGGCTGAAATCACCACAACTATTGGAGAACCCATCGATAAGTTGGAAATTCCTGATTCCCACGCTGAGCACATTCCAGACTCACACATCACTCAAATATCTGAGTCGATTGTTATAGTGCCTGTGGTGGAAAAGTCTATAAATATCACTACTGCAGCTATTCTAGATCCGAATAATCAGCCTCAAATCACTAAACCCATTCCGGAACCCATTCCGAAACCCATTCCGAAACCCATTCCGAAAACCATTCCGAAACCCATTCCCATCAAGAAACTAAATACTTCTGCTTCCAAGTCAACGAAGGTCTTAAAAGCACAGCCTCAGTCAAAAATTACTGAGAAACCATCTGTCCCAATACACCCTTTGGAACCGAAAATGAAAGAAAATATCACCACAGACGTGTCCAAAAGCATCGTTAAGTTGGAGCAGAAGTCGCCAGAGAAACACGTGAGCTGCAGCAATCTTTTTGAGGTAAAATAAAGTAGCTTAATTATATATATATATTTTTTAATTATTTTTAGTATCCTATTACACAGTCACCATCGGACAACGTGAATCACTGGCCACCTTTGGGCAGCCGCTCGAATACGAAAAATTCCCCAAAACAGGCATCTTTGCCAGCAGGACCATCGCTTGAGAACCGAATGCGCCATGTGCAATGTGTGCCACCAAAAATACCCGAGAAGGGCAGTGTTCTTCAAGAAAAAAACGATTTCAATTCAAAACAAAATGCTTTCAAAAAGCCAAACTCACCAAAGTCCAATGTGGCTAAACCTGAGCTACAGATATTAAAAGCCGGCCAAACGATTCCAGAAGCGGAAGAAGTATGGCACTCGAAACCATACAACAAGCCTTTGATTGTTCCAAAAAATAATGCTTTTGGCAATCCGCAGGAAAGAAAGCCTTTGATCAGTATAGGAAATACTTATTTGAAAACATCCGCCCCACTGAACAAAAAACCTAATCGTGTTCAACATAAACACCAGCAGCCAACGCTTCAAGTGTCGAACATGTTTGAACTTCTGGATGACTTGGAGGTCGATGACATAAGTTCAGAGATACAAGATGAGAAAGAGAACCGGGATCCACAGAGTGGCAGCCATCCGTCAAAGAAGACAAAGAAAAGGCGTCCCAAAAAGAAGAACAATGCTCGAAAGTCCTTACCAATAGCCAATGTTCAGCCAAAACAAAGTCCAGCCAAGGAAGCGACAAGCGCTGGGAAATCAAAAGATAACAATGTATCTGCATCAATGGCAAATGAACAAAAGCCCAAAGACCAAATAAAGCCACAGCTTGATGATAAGCCGAAGTCAGGAAATCCAAAGGCTGCAGACCAAAAACTAGGAGAATCGAAATCGAAGTCGGTTAAACAAAAGCCCAAAAACCAAAAAAAGCTGGAAGATATAAAGCCTAAAAACCCACAGCTTGATGATAATCCAAAGTCTGAAAATCCAAAGGCTGTAGACCAAAAACTAGCTGAATCAAAGCTGAAATACCTTAGGCTGCCAAAAAAAACCCCCAAGGAACCTTCGAAGCTTAAAGACATTGTTAAGGGAGCCCAGCCAGATGAAATGGGTGCAGATTCGGTACCTGTTCCTGCTCCACGGCCGCCTTCTCCTGCCCACCCGGCACCGGCTGCCCCACAACCGAACCCACAACCAAACCCACAACCGAACCCACAACCAAACCCACAACCGAACCCACAACCAAACCCACAACCTTCACCCGCTCCGGCTGCTTCTGTTCCGGTTGCTCCCGCTCCCGCTCCGGCTACGTCTGCTGCTGCTGCAAGTCCAGAGCTGATGAATCTCCCCAGAAAGGACACCCAATGTCGAGGAAGGAAGAGAAAAATGAGCAGCTTAGCGACACTGGTTACCGTAGTCTCTTGCGGAGCCGGGCGAAAGACGAAAACTTCCTATGCGGGCAGGGAACCATTTGAGAAGCGGAGACGAACCACAAAGAGGACTAGTCCCGATAAACGTCCACGGCCCTATACTATTCCAGCTGCTCCGAAGGATAAAAATCAGTGTGAAGGCGCCCTGGCGTATGTCTTCTCCCAGGCATACTTGAAGAGGTTGGAGGCCAACTCCCTCCCAAGGCGGACGGGGGGCCCAAGTCGTCGACTTCGAAGTGCAGATGGGACAGCAGGACGGCGGTTCAGAGCCCAAGTTCGTCGGGCATTCGCGGTCGGGATAAAACCCACGGCATACAAATTCGACCCCAACGCAACCTTTTCCCTGGGAAACTGCTCTCTGGCTCAACTGCCGGATTCTCCGCTTCCAGAAATATTCGAAATTGCACCAGCTGGAGACCCAATAACATACCAACAAGTATTAGATCGCACGTATTGCAAAATAAGAGTCCCGCCACGCAACAGACTTAACCCATTCCTTCCCTTTAAGCCCAATTTTGCGACTGCAAGCCCAGGGAAACGATTTAAACTTCAATAATCGCGGATTTCAAGTAAACGGACGAACTCCTAAGTGCATCAGAATACGTACTTCTAATAACATCGAGTGCCTAAAGATGATATCCTCGTAGTTATATCAAATATTATCTTTAATACTTGTGATATTGTTGCACCTAGTCAGTCTGGTTTGGTCTTTAAGAATGTATTCTTTTATTTATTGTAACCCGATTTTCTTTGGAAAAGGCATCGCCAAATTTCATTTTATAAACTAATAATACTAATTAAAACCTTATAATAAGCGTTCATATTTCCTTAAAAAAATACTCACTGCTGGTGCTGGAAGTGTATCCCTCAAATTGATATTTTTATTAAAAAAAAAAAGGATTAAATGTTGCATGAATAGGAGTTTCCAAAGGTTTTTAATGATAACTTTGCATAAAGCAATATTTATGCCTAGTATATTATTACTCTTTTATGTATTGCAACCCAATGATTTAGTTTTTAATTTGACTGGTTTGTTTTTAAAAATCTATTTTATTTTTTTAACCTATTAATTTTCTTTGGAACTGTCACCGCTAAATTTATTTTTATAAACATTTATACTAATAATACTAATTAAAAGCGTATAACAATAAGCGTTCATATTTCTTAAATTAATATTTCACTGCTGGTGCTGGAAATTTATCCCTCAAATTGATATTTAATTAAAAAAAAAATAATTAAATGTTGCATGAATAGGAGTTCCAAAAGGTTGTTGATAATAACTTTAGGTAAAACAACATTTTTGCCCAGTCTGGTTTGTTATTAAAAAATGTATTATTTAATGTAATGTAAAGCATTAAAAAAAAGTATTATAACTATTAATCCTTACACAAACTGCCTGCTGCTAGTGGATAAACTTATTCCTCACAACTCGCCATTGAATATGAGAATTTAGAGGATTTCTTTCAGCCGGTACCTGTGAATTTCGACAACTGAACTGGGCTTAGGTAAGACAATGCATTCCGGGCTTAAGTGCTTTATGATCTCATTCCGTTTGCGTTGATCTCTTCCAGATCCGATCTCTTCAATAACTGTCCGCTTCATCCAAGACGAATGCCGATTTCTATGGTTCCCCTGCTCGAGACTTGGCCACAGTTTGGACTAATTAAGTGTCGAAAGGATTACGAACGCCTACCCGGGGTGTGCTGTGATTTACGAGAGTCTGAGCGGCGGGCGGAGTCCCTGTACCTGTACCTGTTCCAGTGTGCTACCTGTCTGGAGGTCCCCGATCCTCGATCCTCATTAGCATGAGCCGACAGCCGGAGGAGGTGACATCTAATGCGCCTGAGACCCGATGAGCGCGTGTGCCAGGTCATTCATTGAGTCGCCTCCATTCACATGTGCGTATTTCTGTTGATCTCGTCCTGTTACTACTATTAAGTAAATCCTGTTTTCACTTCCCACTGTGTGTGTGTGAGTGTGTGTTGGCTTAGCCTTCTGTGGCAATTGCCTTCGTATTGCAGTCGAATCCTGCAACATTTCTTGTCCCCAGTTCGAAATCCTTTCGCCGTTGCACAATGCCTTCGGTATCTGCTGCAGCTGCTCGGCTCTGGTGTGGCGTGTCGTGGGTGCCACACATTTGCATCTGGCTTAAGACTGCGATCCCTAAGACGCTCTAAGCCAAATGGATGGGCGCATTGTGTTTTCGCTTGTTTGTCTTTCGGTTTTTTGTCCATGCAACCAACCAGCTGCCATGATTGACAATGCCAGCAGAGCAAATGCCACCATTTCGCATTACAAAAACTCCTATCTGTTGCCTTTAATCGGAATCATATTTTAAAACTCATTTGAATTAACCATACAGACTCAAATATACACAAATATACACAAATATGTCTCGTTCTTTGTTTGTATATTTATTTAGTATAAAACTGATCTTTAGAATCGTTTTTGATCTAATGTGCCACACATTAAAAACACATTGTTTTTTAATTAATATACATTCGAGTGCTGCTTTTAATTAAAACTTTACTTAAGCTTTTAATGTCTTACATTGTTATACAAATTCTTTTGTATTGACAAACTATTGATACAAGATTTTAATGTATAAAATGTTGCGCTTAAAAAAAGTAATATTTGAGTATCCATTTTTTGTTCATTTAAAGTGAAATCCTCTTTAATACTAACGTATAATGTACTAATAATTTTTAAAATGAAAATGATCTTAAATATATGCTAAACTTGTATAGGCATTATAACGGGCTTTTAATAATCCTGATTTCTGGGCATTTTAGTTTTCATCATAAATTTTAAATTTGTTTTGGGTAAGGTGACTACAAATCCATAGTGCAAATAGTATTTTTTTTAACAAAACAAATGGATTTACTATACATTTCCAATATCTTTCTAGTCGCTTCGATGAAATCTTCACTTGCCAAGGTTACACAAAATCTGTAGCACATAAAGGAGTTTCTTAAAAACCCAATGATTCACTATTTTTATTAATTGAAAAGCAATATCCCCTGTCTAGCCACTTTCTTTTGCAGTCGCTTCCGTAATATCTTCATTTGCCATGGGCAAACTTGCAGTGCGCTTGTCAGCTGCACGTGGTCACGTGGTCACGTGGTTACCTCAATTTGGACCCATCAAACGGGCGACTAACTCGTCTAATTGGCCCGCTTTCCTTTCCATCTCCACTTGGCCGACGAAGTGCCTATCGTAATTGGATCTGGCTTATGTTTTTGCTTTTGCTCTTGCATTTGCATTTGCTGCTGCTTTTCTGACTGCGTCATGTCACATGTTGTGTACTGCATGGACTGCATGGGGAACTAAAAAATAGAGGAAAAGGAAGGACTCACGCGTATCGATGTCCCCGTGGACAGCGCTCATGTCTGTCTGTCTGTTCGACTGTCTGTCTGTCTGTCTGTTGTTGTGATCCCGCGACCCTCGAACAATTTATTGCTCAATTTATGTTTGCTTAGACTGCCAATAGTTCAATAATTCATAAACGCGCCAAGAAGCTATCGTGTGTCCTGGGAATTAGCATAAACGTGATTTGCATAAGGCAGCTGCCTCCTGGGAGTAGGCATCTCCGACTTCGACTCCGTCTCCGTCTCCGATTCTGCCTCCTTGGCCCCGCAAAAGGTGTGATTGCATGTAATGGCAGTGGATGGGGATGTGACTCTACCTGGACCTTTCCCGCACTCCCTCCTGTTGTTGTTTGCCATCCGTTGTTTTGATATGTAAGTTGATATATGATATTTGATTCGTTGGAGAGACTTTTGGCTTGGGTGTCGCCGGGGTCTCAACTTCAATTACGGCAAATGGCAAGCACAAAGTTGCATAGTTAGGCGTAGTCGTCCTCGTGGACTGGCATCCTCCATCTGCCCTTTTCTTTATTTCTACATTTTTCAAAAACCCTTGATGCTATTTGCATTAGGCCCAAAAGTTTGAGATCCTTCACATAGATGCTGTGTAAGCTTGTCACAAAATTTTGCATTGAGCTAAGAATTTGTAATTTATAAAGTACAAAAAATACAGGAAATAGAACTGATATTATATTTTTGTTTATAATTGAAACGATTTATATATTAAATATACAAGTAACAACAGAAATATTTTTAAAATATATATAATTGCTGACAGGTTAAATCATACGAACTTATATTATTTTCAAATATTTTTACAATTATGAAGGGATTTCATTTTACCAGGTTTAAATAGATTGATACTTTGAAATTAGAAAACTGGATCCTAATGAATTGAAACTAGAAACTCGGGGTTGAAATATCTGCCTGGCTAAATGTTAAGTTTTCTGGTTCTTTTTTTTGGTTTTTTTTAATATATTTCACTACTTTTGTTGACTTTTTGCATAGTCACAGCTGCCGCGCTGCTGTCGGAATTCAGAATTCTATGCAAAATAGTCGAAGTCGGGCGACTTTTAGTCGCGCCTGTCAAGACTCCAGTCCATATGGCCACACATGGCAGGGCAGTGCAGCGCAGTGCAGCGAGGAGCGAGGAGCGCTGTTGCGGAACACACGCCAGGCAGGAACCTGTACAGGACGCACCCCCTAAACGTTATGCACCCGAGATACTACAATACCTACCCGTTTCAAGTAGCACATGAAAGAAACGCGACCTTTGCAGTGAAGTGCGTTTGTAAAATCAGTTGGAATTGGAGAGTGCGCGCGCGAAAAGAAGGAAGGATCCCATAATTTAACATTTGTCACCCTTACCCTTACCCTTACCCTTAACCATACCCTTACCCCTACCCTTACCCCTTTCTTATCCGCATTTTGCATTTCCCCCGAATTTCCTTACATTAGTGCAATGCGGAAAATTGCAAACGATTCAATTCTAATCCGCTGGCGCGTCGCAGACTCATTTAAATTTTTGCGCACTTCAAGTGAGCAGAACAGAGCAGGCTCTCACGAATCGGGGCAGATGAAGAAGGGTTCTCGGATGCACGGATGCACGGATGATTTTGTCACATCCCGGGAGACTGCTGTCAAGTGAGCCGCACTTAATGAAGTATCAAAGGGATTGATGGCAACAAAGATTGCCGAAAAAGATCGCTCAAAGTTTCGCACAAGATCTCGCCGTGCTGTGCCGGCAATTGTTATAATAATATTGTCAATGACATGACAGTCCCATAGATTTGCATTAATGATATGCGACTGCGACCCGATGATGTGCAACATTTGTTCGTCCTGCCCCTAAGAAGGGAGCAAGGTAAAGGGTTGTCCTGACTGAAACTTGATGGGTTTTTCATTCTTTTTTTTTTTTTTTCGTTCTTGGTCCTAGAACACACTAGAAGTGTTGGGTTCCGTGAGGAATATTGGCAATTATGGCAGTGGCCCCGACGATGATGCATGGCGATATTATGCAGAGCATATGCAAAGCAGGGGGGGGAGTCTAATCCAGATCTAAGAACCCATAAGATTGATTGTGTCCAAGGGTTAGGCGCTTCCGCGTTGAATATTTATGAAAATATCCGCAATCTCCTTTCCTGGCCACACACTTTTGGGATGGCCCGAGTCTAGATCTTCGACAGCAAAAAAAAAATTGATTGATTATTTCCATGGCTCTGTAGGATTATATTGAAATTAGGATTTTTAATGCAACTTCCTCGAACGTTTCCTCACAGTAAATATCTGCATGTTTTGGATCAATAAAGATTCCCACACTTTTTTGTATTAGGCAAAATAATTGCTATCTATTCTATTAGATTTAATTATTTGAAGGGTTTTTATGTTCTAATTTTGCCATTGTTTAATGAGAAGTTTAATTTTTGAAATATTATATTACTTCTAATCATAGTAAAATTTATTGTAAAAATACTTATATATAATTATGCTTATTATATATTATTATGCTTATTTTAAATACATACTTTTAGATGCATTTTTAGCTTAAAATATTAACTGAGTAAATTTACCATATATCTAATACCTTATTTCTTGACATATAATTGACTCTCTTCAATATTTATAATCCCCATTTAGAGACTTTCCCATCGACTTGGTCTAGATTTTCAGCTGTGACCGCAGGCCAAGGACCTTTGAGGTCGATCCTTTGGACCTGGCCACTTGTCGTGACCTTTACACCTGCCGTTGGCCGAGTGTGCTTGATGATGTGCGGTTTGGCCGGCCAAATAACATGTTATGTGCGGCCTAATTGGACCGAAAAAAAACGAGGACGAGTCGAAATGTCAAGGGCGGCCGCTGCAGCAGCAGGACATTCAAGGAGCAGAGGAAACTGAAGGACATTGCCCTGGCCAACAGGTGATATTTGGTGTTTCGAGGGTTACGGCTTGTTAGAACCTCGCTAGAAATTTCCCGACTCCCGTTTCTAGGGCACATTTAGCGCCTTCTACGGTGCTCTACTCCACCTACTATTTTACAACATTTTAGAAAAATAATGAAATACATTTTAAAACATTTAATACATCATTCCACTTTCCTTTACATTTTTATTAAAAAATAATAATAATTTAAATATATTCGTCTACTGAATTTTCAAAAACTAACATTAAATGCAATAGTTGAAACTAATTGATCAATTCGTACCTAAAAGAACTTATTTAAAAATTGAAATATTAATACTAGAGCTTTAGCTACACATATTTAAAATATATATTTAATATAAGACCAATTTTGGCAGACCAATAATGCCACACTGATGACCAATTTCGGCAATATTTAATATCATAACTTGAAAGTCTCTTTATATATTTAAATATATATATTCTGAGAATATTATTTAAATATTAAAAAAAACATATATAATAGATATTTTAATCCACAGATAGAAGAGCAAGATGGAAATGGAAGAATGCCACACTGATGACCAATTTCGGGGATATTTTTCCTAGGAAGTGAGGGGCGCCCGCAGGACCCGACGACATAACTGTTAAACGCTAAATGTCCTTTGTACTGTTTTTGCACATGTTGACACATTCGCACACGTCGACGCTGGCGAGTGACATTGACTTCCTGACAGGACATGCAGGACATGCAGGAAAGCAGCAAAGGAACCGGGAAAACTGCAACTCAACCCGCCCTCTGGGTCCTTTTCGGGTTTTCGGGCTGTTTTTGCAACTGTTCGCGGCGATCGATCAGATCGCCAGGCGATATGCGATAGGCGATAATGGAGGAGGCACGCGTGCGTGGCCAGCGGATCTCAAGCGGGCAATGGCGGCAGCTCGACTAACAACTTCAACAAAGTGCGGGTCGAAAGGTGCGTTAAATATTGTCAATCGACGGTTCGTTCGGTAGTCTCTCTCCATTTTCCGAGCCCAAAACACCGATACAACACAATGCCAATGCCAATGCCAATGCCCCCGGCGACTTTTGTCACTGTCCAAAATTAAGCGGGTGCCTGGTGTGCCTGGTGTTTCCATTTTCGCCACTCGAGAAACGTTTAAATCGCAATTAGAGTTTGGAGTGTGCCCTCTTTTAATGGGCGATTTTTCACAATTTTCTCAATTTACCAAAATGGGTTTCGGATTGAGTGCAGATTTCATTGTTCTGCCCGGGAACATCTTTCTTTCTCTATTAAAGTGCCCACAACATGAAATTACAGGCAACATTTCAATTTAAAGTGTTCGGAAATCACTTTTAAAATGCATTTTTCAACGATGTTTGTCGAACAATTATGTATTGTTCCGATTATTTATAAAATTTATAAGTTAAATAGAGACATGTCAAAAAATACAAATTATGAATATGATAGATAATTTCCTGCAAAATTGTATAGTGTATAGAACTTATCAAAATATTCTTTTAAATTAAAATATGTACTATATATACAAACATATACATATATATATAATACATTGAATTTAATAATATGATAGAAAATTAGAAGTAGAAATTAGAAAATAATATGAAAAAAAATTAATCTAAGAAATGTGCTTAAAATTAAAAACTAATTTAGATTTTTCTCCTTTTCAGATTTTCCATATCTACAATCGGTTACGGAACCTTGCCTCAACTAACATTCGACTCATTACTCGGCGACCATCCGAAACCAGAAGATAGCGAAGATCCCCGAGGTTCCCAACTACATGGCACTTCCGGATTTTGGAATACGTAAGTATCCGTTTCACTTTCAATCAAAACGAAATTAGAGAAATGCATGTTTAATGAGACTGCCAGTCCGGAACTGGACGGCACTCAACTGAACTGACTACGTTAAAAATCCAGAGCGGGAACAATGAAGTTTAGGGAGCGGTCATTAGTAGGACGGACAAGAACCAGATAATAACAATAATAATGGGCAATAGCCCAAAACGGCGCGGTGGAAAACTGAAGAAAAGCGAGAGTGAGTGTAATAAAAAAAAAAGCAGCGGCAGCGACATCAACATCGGCATTAACCTTCTTACTGTTTTTTTTTTTGTGTTGGGAAATCGAAAGTTCAGGACGCGGACGAGGGTTTGACAAGGGGACCTGCCCTGATTTCGGCGGGTTATATGGATCCTTTATCCTTTATCCAGGCTGCTTGACCGCTCGACCGCTCGACCTCCTTGGCATCACGTAATAAAGTATTTTACTTTGTTTTGCCTGTCACAGCGCACAGCGCACAGAGATGATGGTCAGCCATCAAGCCATCATGCCATCATCTGCATATGAAAGTTTCACGCTCTACTGAGCATTGCCATGGGAAGTTCTTCACTGCCAGACGGCGAAGTGTTAACGCTTTTGGCTTAGCCCACTCCCCTCGTCCCTTCGGGGTTGCACAAAATGTTATGACAGCTCATTTAACGCCGCCTCTGGAGAGCGGAGTGGACTCTGTGAATTGGCGACCCATCGATCCGGTTGACATCCATCTGGCCAGTTGGCCATCGAAGATCCCTTGTAATTGGCCTCCTCGGGGAGCTGAGGGAATGTCCCTGCAGGATGTCTGCCGGCTATCCCTTTTTCCTAACGAGCTCTAGTCGCTAGTTTTCCTAGAATTCTGAATATAAACTGTTATAATTACAGGCTTGTAAGTTTACTAAACTCCTTGTCCCTTGCTCTGCAGGCGGTCGTCTTATTAGGCAAGTTTAAGTTACTTTTTTTATTTAACAAGTAAAGATTATGTAAAACAAGTTTTCTGTTTTCTGCAACTGGGTTTTTGGTGGGAAAGATTTTTCAAACGTGAGAGCGATCTTTAAAGGCGGAAACTCAATAAACTCAAGAATAATTGATTTTCTAAAAGAAAATCACTGTATAAACTTTAAAAATATAGGTATATAGGCATATTATAGTATCGGAGATCTATAACATTGAAAAGTATATTTATGTGTGTAAACATAAAATATTATTTAAATGCTTATATATTATAATTGACTTCAGGATTAAGAAGTTATGAAATAATATGAAATATAACCCGTACTTATTTTTGTACTGCCCATTTTAAAGATTCTGCTTATGAGTAAATATTGCTCTACATGTTTGTACTTTATCTCTAAGCGTTATGCTCACTATTATTCATTACATTAATATTCTAAAATTTATGTACGTTACTTCCAAGCGTTATGCTTACCCCTTATCAAATGAAGAAACTCATGATATTATCGCATAACCATAAAGCATTTGCAATTCACACAGCCATTACTATAATTTTATTGCACTTTTATAGGATAGCTTCCACAGAAGCCTTAAGAAAATCCCTGATTCAGAGGCAGTTGAAACCACTACCTCGTCTTAGATCCGAGTTAGAGTTAAGTGCACTTTAAAAACACCTTCTTATGGAATTTCGGTTACCTGTTCGGTTATCTAGTTCCAGGTAGACTTTAACACGTTAGATCCCACATATCGTGGACATTTGAGTCGTAAATAGTAGTTTCTTGCGACAATTATCGCGCAACCCCTTTGGCTGGCCCTCATTAGAGTCCAAGTTGCGGACCTGGATGGATGGAATCCCCTATAGCTTGCTATCGGAGCATTAAACGCTTATTACCCCGATCGCTGTGGGAAAGATGGGAAAGAAGAAGGCCACTTGGGCCCTCGATACTCGGTTTTTGGTTCTCGGAGGAACTACCTTCCACGCTCCGTTGAGCTTCAAGAGGTGTTTTGCATAAACTGCTGGTTCTTTGTGGTTTCAGCCGAATTATGAACAGACCCAGACCCCCAGTCCCTTTGCCTAGTCAACCCCTAGTCCAGGCTAGTTTTGCATTCAAAAATGATTTATTCCGACCAAAAAACACTCTTATGACTATGAAAAAAAATATGTTGTTTAAAAAAAAAAGAGTAGGAATATCCTTGAGGATTAGCTATGGTCCGCCAGGGAGAAGCTGAGTCGTCTCTTGGTGGCATCTCTGGCCTGCGCCTGCGCCTGCATCCACATGCCATCCAGCTGGCAGGCGACCTCCATTTCCTCGTCACCCAATCCTCTCGTGAGCTGGCAGTGCTCCTCCTCCAGCTCACAGTCGCTGGTGGAGTTGTGACCACTGTCCGGGCTAATGTGCCGTATCTTCTGAGGGGGAACTGCTATGTTTCCGGTTCCCGATCCCGATCCGGACCTGGCCGCGGCCAGCAGTTTCTGCGCCGACTGCCTGACGCTGGAGGAGATCTTGGTGGTGATCTTTCGCTTGCGCCGCACCACCCGCTGCCTGCGAAGCTGCAGGGAGTGCCGCTTGCCCTGGGATTGGATGGCATTGGCATTGGCATTAGTGGGCAGTGGCAGTGGGGAGCGCACCTCCCGCTCCTCGAAGCCATCGGCTGGCAGGGAATCCCTCCGCGAGGGCGACTTCCAGTACTCGCACAGATCGCTTGCCGGATCGAAGGCGGGGCGGTAGGTGGGCGAGTGGGTCTGCACCTGGGCGTGGCTGTTCCGGAGCACCTGCTGCCTGTGCCGCTGGCGGAGATGCTGCCTGGGCTGGCGCAGATGCGGCACCTTGCGGTTGCTCTCCAGGATGGCATCGATCATGCGCTCCAGGGTCACATCGCCCATCTGGCTGGAGCTGAGTGTGGTCTGTTGGCAGGCGGTGGCAGGAGGAGCTGGTTGAGGCAGTGGCTTCTGCTCCAGGTAGCGTGGCTTCTCGAAGTAGCTGTCCGGGATGCCCACGCCGCGCAGGGCGATCAGGGAGCCAGGGATGACGGCGGCGTTGGGCGAGTACTCCGCCTCGAAGGTGGGCAGGGTGCAGGCGAACTTGGGGGGTTGGCATGCAGCTCCAGAGGCTGCTCCTCCAGATGGCGGAGTGGCCAGGATGTTGCTGAGATCCTTGAGCAGCGGCGTGCGGGTGCAGGCTGCCGGCAGCGGAGTGGAGGTCAGCTGGTTCTCCTTGCCCTGGGCCAAACCCATACTCCTCCTCATCTTGAGCTTGCCGCGCAGGGCGTGGAACTCGCTGTAGCTGGAGCCAACCAAATCGCTGGTGGCCACCACCTCATCCTTGGCCAAGTACGAGGGTCGCGGCTGGTTGACGGCCCACTTGAGCATCTTCTTTGTCTGGCTTCGATTCCGACTTGTAGTGGGTGCTGCAAGGAAAAAAGAGCAAGGGATATTGTTATTTCTGGTTCTCGCATTCCAGAACTTGACTTTTTGAAAAGCAAACAAAAAAAAAAGGGCAGCAGCAAAGTTGCCGGGTGAGTTTTCGGCAATTTTGGCGCGCTTTTTCCGCGATATGCACATCCATACATATAGACATATATTTGTATATATATATATATATTGATATGGCAAAGTCAGCCAAGCAGCAGAAATGAAATCAAAAACGAAACCAACCACTCCTCACGAGCAATTAACTGGACCACGGGCAGCCTTTGGCTGGACCTTAATAATTTAATTGCCTCTCCACTTGATATGGTCAATTATTTTTATGAATTTTTAAAAATCTCTTGACGCTTATGCGGTGGTAACTTTTTCAAAATTTAAACTTTATACTTGATTGAGTACCAAATAATCACTACTTGTTGGGTTCTTATGTATTTAAATTTCAATCGTCCAATTATTTGATGCATAACTTTAAAGAACTTATCATTTTCATACATGATTGAGTGCCGAAAAAGATCTTATAATTTTCATACATGAATGAATGTTTTAAGCAAACCAAAAATCAGAGATGTATTGTGATTTTGATTTGGAAAGAGATTTCTTTAGTTTTTTTTTCTTGCAATCACTTGAATTTACCTTTTCGTTAATAGGTTTTCGTTTAAAGCACTGATGTTTTTTAACAACAAAAAAATTGGGTTCACTGATTTATTTTCGGAATATATTTTTGTGGCAATTATAAAAGTGCATGAACGACCGAATTTTGTTTAAGTGTTGCGCTTGACCCGTCGCGTTTTTCTGGGAGATCGACTGTGTGTGCGTTCCCTTTGCCGTTCGCTGGTTGAATGACTGTCGCCTAAACCCGCAGAACCCTTAGCTGCCCAAGGTGAGACATGGTTTAACCGGAGAGGAGAGCGGGATCAGGAGCGGGAGCGGGAGCAGGAGAGACCGGGAGAGCGGACATGTTGCGCATGCGCAGACGGCTGGAGAGAGCAACAGTGCCAGTTGAAAGGGCAGATCGTTCAACTAACCCGCGCATTCAACCATTGAAAGTGGGTGGCAGGGGGAGTCGTATTTCGTGTCCTTGTTATGGTAGAGTTGTAAGAAATTGAATCAAGCACACCAAAAATATATGAGAATGAGAAATTAATTATGTTTATTAGTCTGAAAAATTAAATCGGTGATATTTTATAGTTTCTTCATAATGCTTAATATATTTCACTCGATGTTCATAATACTAGGCGCTTATGGATATTCTGCTCTCCTCACTGCTCTCAAATTTCCAAGCATTATTAAAAATGAAATGAAACTTATTCATAGCAAAAAGAGCATAATTGTTGAATCTTATTTCTTAATTTCAAAATATTACGTATTTTTTGTCTTTTTTAATCTATATTACTGTCACTTAATTTTGTACTCTTTGAGTACATATTATTATAAAAGTTCCTTTTGAATATTAAACAAAAGTAATTAATCCCAAACTTCAAATTAAATATTAAAATGGAAACTTCGAAATTAAGTTATTTGAAATTTATATAAATTTATATTGAATTTAAAAACTAAACCAACTCAGTAATCTCATTCCAGTTAACCATTATGCAATACAAATTGGAACACAATTTCTTATACATTGGAAACGTAGTTTAGGATACGATACGCCTTGATCTACATTAACTTATCTTGACGATCAGTTTTTATAACCATTTACCGATCGATTTACGATCTGGCAACAGCTGTGCGAATCTTCTATGATCGTGAGATTTTTTAATGGCCACCGTTGATGATCAGTTGGCCAAGTTCTCAATGAGAAAGATATGGTGATAGCGAGAGTGCGAGGGGGACGAAACATAGCTGGCCAGCTGTTCCCAACGCCGCTTACGCCACAAAACATAATTTTCAATTACCTTTCTCGCAGCGTGTGGCTCCTTTCACCTTGGTTTCCTATTTATACCCTGTAGTTTTTGTAGGATTTGGAGTATACCAGGTTTCATCCTTATTGCATGTTCTTAATCAAAAATTAAATTTTGTTTAGGAGACCTCTTTAAAGGGGTTATTAAGATTAAATATTAAATTAAAACTAATATAAATCTTAAAATTTATGATCTAAAACAAAATAGATTCTGTTCTTTTCTTACATTTTGTTAAACGATGTAAATATGATTTTCTAGAATATTTGTTTATATTATAACCTTATTCACATTTGATAATATAGGATTTTTATATCGTATCTAAGCTAAAATAAAATATTAACAGGTATTTAACAGTCGAATTATAACAATATTTACTATACCAATTTTGTTTTGTTTTTTTTTCTTCCTTCTTTTTCGATTTTCGCCAAGAAAAGGACAACACACAAGCAGCGGCACAGGAACTTGGGCATTGTACAATTTTGGCCCATTGTTTATGGGACAAGCTGAGGAACGGCAGCGCTGCTCGGAGAAAAATGTTGTGGAAAATTGTGCAATTGTTTTGCAATTTATTGGTTAAAGGGCTCCTGCTCCTTCGTCCTCCTCCGGCCCTTCTACTTTCGATCCTGCTTTCTCCCCTCGCAGCGCAATCTTAGATATTTTTGCAGCCGCCGAGTGTCCGTTTGAGGAAAGTAGAATTAAATCTATCCGGCAAGAAGCAGTACATCTGCCCATCGTTATTATTTGTTTTTGTCATATTGCTGGCCCAATTTATTTGACAGTTTTGTGCAAGAACTAAACACATTTTTATTCAGTTTACAGATAGGAAGTTGATTGAAGCAGGTCCTACGGAGATTGCCAATGTCCTTACAGTTCCGGACCACCGAGTGGGATTTAATTTATGGCTCTTGCTGGCACAATTAGAGATGTTCAAGTGATATGAGTTCATCAGGACCACCCCCATGGGATTTTTAAAATATCAGACCCATGGGAACTCCAATAAGGTAAGACATCTTTATAAGAATTATCGATGTTTGCATATTTTTGTTTGCATTTATTTTGTGAAGCTTCTTTATGAGAGTAACCAAAGAAAATTTCAATTAATATATATAAAATATATTATTTTTTATATTTATTTTTTTATTTGGTTACATATTTTCTGTAGGAATTGGGAACTTTTTTTATAATTTTTCAAAAAAGTTAATCTTACTTGTTTGAAAATAATAAAAGATATGAGTTTTCCCAAGGTATTTCCAAGTTCTTTTGTTTAGGCAAATCACTTCAAATGAAGTTACCGAGACCTTAAACAAATTTAGATTCCTGATGGGTTTTCCCACAATAGTTTATTCAAATAAATCTCAAACCTTCGTTTCACAAAATTGATATTCGAGAGGCGCGCTTTCCCAGACCAAATTGAACTAGGCCCTAATTTGCTGTCCCATTGAGGGGGAAAAAAATGGAAATTATGGTGCCTGGCACTTCGGACACCGATCAGCTGCCCGGTAATGTTGAGTGACCAACGATAAATCTCGGGAAAAAACGAAGCAAATTGAAATAAATCAATAATATTGGGCGGCGATCGTCGAAGATGGCCAGCAGCAGCTGCCCTAAGATGTGCCATCTTCCCAATAATCCGTGCCAGTCCCTTTGAATCAAAGGCAATTTTACGCATTGGTCACTGGCCGGATAGCGAAGGATAATGCCGAGGGAAGGGATAGGGATTGTTCGGGGAGAGGGTGACAAGGAAGATAAATTAGGGCAGGAGGAGCCCCTTTTCCGATTTATTTTTGTATTTTCCAGTTCCTCCTCCAGCCTTGCCGCTAATAAATTGCCCAACAATTGTGCAATTTTTCATAGATGGAGAATTGCACGGCGACCTTGGCGCAAAGACTTCACGCTCGGATTTGCTACCGTTTTTCTGCCGCTTTTGCTTCTTTACCAATCGCTTTTCCAATCAATGGTGTTTTCTTCTACACGTGGAGAAAATGTGTGCAAGGAATTGGTTAAAATTGTCATAATATAGGTATTTAAAATATGTTTAGCTGAAAGAATTGAACAAAATTACGTTATTTAAATGATTAAAACAGACTTTGAAAACAAATATATATATTTATACAGTAAACAAAGTTTTACTTATATTTATATTAATTTATATTTTAATAGCTATAATATTTAATGTGTAATTGAAAATTATTTATTATTTAATATTTCAGTATTAAAGCTTAACTTTGATAATTCAACCACAAGAATATAACAATCTCAAACATATTTTACCCATTGAAATATATTTTTTGTTTGTTCTGGTTTTTTTTTCCTTTTTTCTAGCTTATACAAATAAAATATATATTTTGACAATTTTTATATATATTTTATGGTAACAAAACGATCTAAAATTTAATATTTTGTTTTTTTTTTCTCAATGCAGGCTGTTGTTTTGCCGCCCCATTCCGCTCGTCATCGCCGGGAAAACGTGCGGCGGCAAGGACATCTAGATAAAGTGGAAAGTACATAGGTAGGGGAGAGGAGTCGGGGAGGAGTAATCTTGAATCACACGCCGCACACTGATAGCGCCAGGACGTAAGGAAGGAACCACCTCAACCCAAGGAAACCCAAGGAACCTCAGGACCCACAATCCTTGGCCGGACAGCTGTTCGGGGATTAGCACGGCTAGCCGAGCATTTTCTCCCTCACCTTTGCTTTGCTTTCTCCCATTACTTTCTCCTTCGGGGCGCGCAAAATTATTAAAACCTGGCCCTAAATTATGGGCCATAATTTAGAATTCCAACGAGAGCTCCCTGAGCGCTGAGCATTTGTATTTGCACAGGGCTTCCCTCTGGCTGCTCCTTCTTCTTTATATTCTTATATTTTATATTTCACATTTTTATTTGCCTGCTCGATAAGGCTAGGCTCTGGCGGGCAAAAAAGGGGGGTGGGATGTTCACAGGACCCAGATCCTTTGATTGATTTGGGATCGCTGTGAAAAGCTGGCATCCATTGACAGGCAGGCACTTCAAGGACCTGAGGCTCCTAGATCGGGTTATTTGCCCAGGATCAGTCGAAGTCCCAAGAAAAGGGATCTGCAGATCAATAGGTGATGCAGAACATAGCGAATAATTGGATCTGGGCCAAGGCTGAACTTAAAGAAAAGGGCTATCAAAAGCGGGATAAGGCAGCGAATGTATTGTTCAAACTGACACTTTTGTGCGATCTTTTTAAATCGGTTTATGTTTAAAAATAATATTTCCTCAAACTTATTTTGTTTAATTGTTTTGTAATATATTAAAATAGTTATATTAACATAATGAAAAAATCCCTACGTTTAATATAAAAAAAATACTTAGAAAAGGTTTTCAAAATTTAAACAAAAGATGTAAAATATTTTAAGTTTTAGATTGAAGTTATTGTCTGTTAAATAAATTGTCATTTAAAATTATATATGTTTTAGAAACATGAGAAACTAAAAAATTCGTTTTACGATTAGCTAAATAAATTCCTGAATTTACAGTCCTTAAAATAATTCCCAAATATCACCTAGACAATAAATAAAGTAAAATCTCAATCAGCCTTTCCCAATTTGGAAACGATCAATTTTCGAATATGTATATCAATCGCCCAAATGATATCCCAATGACAAGTCCCTTGCGAGCCCTTAAAATAATATATGCTGATCGTTAATGGGGCATTTGTCAAACATTATGCAATGGAAATCCGAACTTGACAAATGCCAAGTGATCTGAATTGACATGAGCATGAGAGATGGACAGGAATAGGCATGCAAAGCATTCAATTTCAATATCAACCCGTTCACCCAATCGCTCCGGGGGGCGGGACGGGTTGGCATTGCAGGGGTAGTGGTAGTCATAGTGGCAGTGGCAGTGGCAGTAGGTTTTCAAGTTCAGTCCAAGGGAATGCACTCCCGAAATCCCTTAGAAATTTCTCAGCACTCAGCAAGGGAGAAAAAAAGTGAGAGAGAGTTAGCAGCAATCTCACCTTCAATATTGAAAGGTGCTGCAGAAAAGGTGGTTGTTCAATCAATACACAGTGAAAAACAAGAAAATCCCTTTGGTTTGGCATGCTTTCAAACAACGATTGGGAAATAAAACATTTATTTATATGTTTAATGTTTAGCCCTTGTCCATCTAAAGGCGAATGCCAAAATAAGGTTTGCAAAAACCTAAAGCAATTCAGTCGTTGAGGTATTTCTGTACTGTCATGAAGATATTCCCTTGGAATAATCTTTGTAACATTATAAAAATTCAGTTTCTTACTTAAAATACTTCTAAAATGAAACCATAATCATAAAGGTTTTTTTTTCAGTGACCTTAGAGAGAGGGTGAGCCGACGAGAGCGAGAGTGGTTAAAGTTGCTCGGCGAGGTGAGCACGCAACGTTGCGTGCGAAGGGAGAATCAGTCACTTTTCGTTACTTGCCACGACAGGACGTGTGTTCCTCTGCGATCGCGTAAAGGAGAAGTTCTGACACTTAAAATTTTGATTCGCAACACTCGACTCTTTATCACTCCTTTTTTTTACCGTGAAAAAAAAAAACAAATTATAAACATTTTTTTTTTTAAACTGTGAAAAACGAAGCAAATATTCTACTTTGGATACACAACAAGATCGCGGAAAATTCGCAACAAAACAAAACACAATTAAAAAAGGTAAAGATAAGTGAAGTACATGAAATGGAATATAAAAAAAAACACGTGTGCATATATTTTTCGGCTAATGTACATTAAAAATGCATTAAAGCAGAAGAGTCTGGGAAGGCGGGGTTTAATTAAAAACACCCCATTAAAATCGCCTGAAAATCCATAAATTGTGCGCGTGCGATTTTGGGCTTTTTGGGCCATGAGCTATGGGTAATGGGTAATGGGTTTTCGAACTCGGTGTTCCCGGTACCAAGTGCTCGAGTGCTCTTCAGACCAAAACGAGAGCGGCGGCTGCAAAATGCGCAAAAATACTAGCACGCATCGCAAAAAACCCTTCGAATCCTCTGGATCCCCCTCATCGGCTGGCATCGGCTCATCCACTCAAGTGGCCGGAGATCGACACCACTGGCGGATGGGGCAGAGGATTGGGAATCGGAATCGAAATCGAAATAGGAATAGGTGGACGACTAGAGTGTGCCAGCACTACCATTTTGATCTGAAAATTTCCTCTATAGACAGTTTCACTTCTAATCGTTTCTTAAGCAATCGAATTTCTTAAAGTAAATCATGTTAAAAATACAAATTTTCTGTTTTTAAATCGTTTAGAAAATTAATGAAAAAAAAAAGAATTTCAGAAATATTCCATTGATAGAGGAATTAAATTATTTTTTCATAGAAAACCAGAACCATATTTTAACAGTAAATATAGTTTCTAATAAGCTTTGTATGTTTAAGATGAAATTAATTGGGATTTAGGTATTTTAAAAGGAGCGTTAAAAATGGCAAATGAAAGCATAGAATGTAGGGCTAATTTGGGTGATATTTTCTCCCTGTGCCGACGCACCACCCGAGCACACGAGACCAGGTTCGAGGCAGGACCTTGGGCTGAATCGCAGCTGGAGGGCAGTGCGATGGAACTGGAAACCGGAGAACCAGAAATTCGCGAAGCTTTAGCGCGCTTTTCCTTTGTTCCGGGGCTCATTGTGCCTGCTCAATTGTTCGCAAGGACGAGCGGAACCAGAAACTCCTTGCGAAAATCAGGAGGCTGCTATTCAGCTGTGCAAATCCTTGCCGAAATCCCAAGGAAACCCATTGCGAAACTCGTTTCGCTACAAGTTAGTCGGGTTTTCGCTCCTTTTTTTTTCCTACTTCATATTGCCTGTCCTCTTTAAGTTTTGCAAATAGACAATCGCTAACTAGCCCTATCTCCTTGCCACTTTCCAGAACTCTTGGCTGCGACGAAGCGACAGACAGCAGCTGGCAAGATGCTCAAGTGGGCTGTCAACCAGCCGCGAAACTCGTATTTGGCCAAGGGATCGGAAACAGGATCGCTGGACCCGAAGGCCGAGGTGGTTGGCTCCAGCTACAGCGAGTTCCACGCCCTGCGCGGCAAGCTCAAGATGAGGAGGAGTATGGGCTTGGCCCAGGGCAAGGAGAACCAGCTGACCTCCACTCCGCTGCCGGCAGCCTGCACCCGCACGCCGCTGCTCAAGGATCTCAGCAACATCCTGGCCACTCCGCCATCTGGAGGAGCAGCCTCTGGAGCTGCATGCCAACCCCCCAAGTTCGCCTGCACCCTGCCCACCTTCGAGGCGGAGTACTCGCCCAACGCCGCCGTCATCCCTGGCTCCCTGATCGCCCTGCGCGGCGTGGGCATCCCGGACAGCTACTTCGAGAAGCCACGCTACCTGGAGCAGAAGCCACTGCCTCAACCAGCTCCTCCTGCCACCGCCTGCCAACAGACCACACTCAGCTCCAGCCAGATGGGAGATGTGACCCTGGAGCGCATGATCGATGCCATCCTGGAGAGCAACCGCAAGGTGCCGCATCTGCGCCAGCCCAGGCAGCATCTCCGCCAGCGGCACAGGCAGCAGGTGCTCCGGAACAGCCACGCCCAGTTGCAGACCCACTCGCCCACCTACCGCCCCGCCTTCGATCCGGCAAGCGATCTGTGCGAGTACTGGAAGTCGCCCTCGCGGAGGGATTCCCTGCCAGCCGATGGCTTCGAGGAGCGGGAGGTGCGCTCCCCACTGCCACTGCCCACTAATGCCAATGCCATCCAATCCCAGGGCAAGCGGCACTCCCTGCAGCTCCGCAGGCAGCGGGTGGTGCGGCGCAAGAGGAAGATCACCACAAAGATCTCCTCCAGCGTCAGGCAGTCGGCGCAGAAGCTGCTGGCCGCGGCCAGGTCCGGATCCGGAGTGCCCGGCCACCGGTCCGCCGCCCAGAAGAGGCGCCACATCAGCCCGGACAGTGGGCACAACTCCACCAGCGACTTCGAGGAGGAGCTGGTGGCCAGGGGATCCTGCGCCGCTCTGGCGGAGGCGGTCACCAAGAGACGCCTCAGCTTCTCCTTCGCCGAGGATCTGTTCGTGGAGAAGTGACGCACCGGGGCGACACTTTTAATGTTACTTTTTGACTACTGTTCGGTTACAATTAAATCCTTTTTTTTTGTGTGGCTAAAAGCGCAGCATGGCCTTGGAATCCGTATGTTGAAACAGATCCTATAACTATCTAAGAATCCCTTTTTTTTGACAAATAAAACACTGATTTAAGAAACAAGTGCTTGTAACTAGTTTATTTTTTTGGAGCTGGGTACAGCAAGTTCATTTATTTCATTTTAATGACTCGAGAGGTATTAAAGTTTTATCGTGTAACACAAACAAAACTGCATCCTTGTTAACGTTTGATAAGTACAACCATTAATTAGGGATAACGGGCTTCTTTGTGGGGATTACTTGGCAATATATTACGTGGCTATCTATGCGGTAAACTGGATTCTCACGGATCCCAGTTCCACGTTCCGCCCCTGAATTCATCATCGTGACTGGGACTTTGGCGAACTCCGACTGGATGGTAGGGTACACTAGACTCTGGATAAGGCATTTCTGGGGTGGGGGTGTACGTGTACCCTACCCTCTGTGGCAGTAAAAATGTTGAGGCATATCCTGTGCGTCCTTTACACGGCACTTATCACGCACCTGTGCACCACCTAAAAACCAAATGGCGAACCACCAACGACAAACGACAGGCTACAAAACGGTGGACATTTGCATAAATTTGCATAGAATCGAACGAATTCTACGGTTTCGGTTTTGTATTGAATGTGTAGGCCAGGATTCGAGGTCCTTGTTAACTGTACCCGAGATCCACCGATCCATAACTGCACGGAGAGAAAAATAGAAAGTTTTCATTTCAACCATAAATATATTTAGTTAGAAATTAATAAAGTTTAATGGTTTGTCAACTTAGCTTTTGTACATAGCTTTTGTGTTTTAATAAAAATCGTATTTTCCATAATAAATTCTTACATGTAAGATTCATAAAATTCCATTGGTAGTGGCATTTTTCTCCCAGTGCCTCTGCAAACTGTGACTGTGCGACCTAGCGACCCATAACTAAGTTATGCCAGTTATATGTCAGCCGATCGTGAGGGGGCGGAGATATATGTACATATAGTACATTTTGATCCTGCACAGCCAGCTGGCAAGGATCTAAAGTACAAAATTGGAACAAACATTGCTATGAAGTACATTAGATCTGCATTTTCGTAAAACATTAAAGTAATGATAGCCAATAAATGCCAGATTGGTAATAGTTTTTCAACAATCTGCACTGTATTTTTGTGGCCTTGGTGAGTTTGACCTTTTAAGAACAGATTGTATACCTTTGTGGTTTAATTTTCTATAAATATGCATGAAAATGATGGTATTTAATGCCCTCGAAGTTTTGTGGTCTGTGTTACAAGTTTTTTATTTAAAAAGGATACAAAATGTTATGCAATTTTTAAGCAATTATCTAGGATATGATTTCCTAAAGATGTAAAGTATATGACATTATTTCTTTAGTAAATATGGCTGGGCTGTTGCTTTTGCCGTTTGTACGATGTCTATTAAATGCCTTTAGGTAAATACCTCTGGACCCTTGGGTATTGTTTTGTCCAGTTCCTGTTTGTGATCCTTGTTTTTCGCTTCTGTCGCAGATCGGATGCGATGCCTTGATCCATTGTGTTTCACTGCTACTGCTGCCTTCGTTTTTCAATTTCTCTGCTCAATTGAGTCCATCCAGCTGCCCGAGAAACTGAATCCCGAACTGAACTCAAGTGGAGATGGAGGTGAAGGCGGAGGTGTACTCTGATTTGCCCGTCTCTCTCTTTCACTCTTGGCAAATGTCACATAAGAACAGGATCAGGATCGGGATCGGGATCTCGAGCAGGAGCTGGCGCAAAAACATCTTTTCGAAAAGTGCGCCAAAAGGGAGTACGCGAGAATGCCGAGCACGAGTCAACTGCAAACACAAAAGGCGAAATGGGAATGAGCATGGGTATCGAAATGAGGATAAGAACGAGGACAAGGAGCAGGCCCAAGAAAAAGGACACAAAATCGCATCGTGGCATGCGTCGGCGGATGAGGAGGGCGGGGGCAGAGGCGGGGGCGTCCTCGGGGACAGCTGTCGTCGCAAACACCAACGCAATTGTACACTGAAATTCATGCCACATCCTAAGATCAAAATTTGAAGAAAAAAAAATATTCAAAGGCATACAAAATATATTACACTTGAAGTACACAAAATACACTTATGATATATAAAAGATATTGCTATCTTAATTTAAAAAAAAGCATCAAATGATTTTTTATTTTAATAAGAATTGTAAAAAAAAGTATGTAATTCTTTGCCAACAAAAATTAAAGCCTATTCATTTTGCTTTCTTTCCTGCATTTTGATTAAGTCTTAAGAATACATTGCAAGTAATATTCAAACACAAATTATCTCTATCAATAAAATTATTATAACTCTAAAATTTAAACAAATTATTTAAGCAAAACCAATACCATTTTAATTTTCTTGCAGTGCAGGCAGCGTTTAGCGGGGGAGAGGCGCGGCGGTCTAAGGATCTAAGGAACCATGGATAAATAGGAGCAAAAAAATAAGTTGAAGGAGTTCAGCTCAAGTGCTGCCACATGTTGCCGTTGTAAATTGGACAACAATTGGCGGCCTAATAGGGTTAAGTGCCGGAAATTGCCGGAACCAAAAGTGGCAGAAGCTGCGAAATTGCGCGATCTATTTGGCACTTCCAAAACACTCTCCCCAGTCCCTGAATAATAACTTTTGGTACTTTGTATTATATAGTATGTATGAACATTATTTAATATCAATCATAAAATATTTTAATCTTATTTGTAAAATGTTGTGTTGTAAGGATTTTTGGCCAAAAAAAAAATCGATTAGCTTTAGCAAAATAACATCTTTCTTTGTGAAGCAAATTTCGCTTAAAATTTTTCATTTGCAAAATAAAACTGTTTCAGTGAGGAACACTCTTAACCCCCTTTGATATTGTTGAGTTTGCCTTGTTAATGAAATAAAATGATCTCTAATGAAGTGAAATCGAAGGATCTCCGTCTCTGGAGAGTGCCAAAAAGTGATAACGATCATTAGCGAAGCTGTGAGGCGACAAGATTCAAGACGCCGAGCGAACTCAATCAATGTCAGGGTACAAGATATATATAGTGGGACATGGGACACAGACTCAGGGGCGGGGAAATAAAGCGGAATGAGTCGCAACTGTCAATAAATGGAGCAGGCTCTAATCCCATATGACGTGAGCAATAAGTAATAGGTGGAAGTGGCCCAAAAACCAGACCAGATCAGATCAGGGGAGGATCGGCGAGGAAATTGCCAACTATTTGTATTTGTCAAAGGTTCTGATTTCACGGCTGTAGGAAAATTCGGATCCTCGACGATTAATCAATGTGACGTGAGTGCCGCTCGCTCTCTTTATTTCCCTCTTTTTGACAGGACAAACATCTTGAGTTGGTTTGCGCGCCAAACGAATGTCCTGTTCGCTCTGCTCTAACAGCTCAGATATTTAAGTCATCTTGGATCCTAATTCAGACTCAAATACTGGCACTTTCTTTAAAGGGATGCAAAGGAAGACGAAGAAGGAGAGGTCACACCGCAGGATCAAACAATCCAATCGATTTGCATAGACCGGCAGCCAAAGGGTTGTGTCGTTGATCTCCAGATCTCCAGATCGCCAGATTGCGATACCGATTGCTTATGTAAATGTTGTTTGCCCGACAAACTTTAGCTCCCGGCACAATGCCAAATGCAAACTAATAGATACAATTTTATCGCCGTCCATCCGGGGGTAATTAGGCATCTTTACGGTCAGCCGAAAGGATCACAGAGGTTGAGGATGCTGCCGTTCGTGCCCAAGGATCTCGAGCTGTGAAAGGACCAAAAGGAGTGAGAATGCAGGGGAACTGGACTCTCGGTAAGCACTTAAGCCAATTTGAAGTGCAGTGAACTTTTGCGGCCTTGTTTATCTTGTGGCTTAGTCGGAATTTGTAATGCTCTATTATCCTTGACGAATTTTAAGCGTGTTCATTAAATTCGAGATTTAATTGTTTAACAGTTTCAAGTTGAGTATTAAATAGTCTGCAAATTATCCAGCCTGATGAATGAAGTAGCTGGAATATATAGCAAACGTTATCAATAAAAACAAATAGAAAAAATAGATAATAATTTTAGCATGCCCGGAAATGTGTTAATTAAAGAATTAAGTAATACTTAAGTTTTGAATTATGAGTTGCTATTCTAAATATTAACAAAATCCTCTACTCAATTCAATTAATCATTTTAGTATTGCGATAATTAAACCTAAGCCACATCTGTTAAAGAGGTTAAAAAAGGAGCAATCAAATCTTTAGCCTACTAATCACAATTAATTATCAGCATCCCAGCTTCGGTTTCGAATAAATCCAAAACACTGGTGTCTAAAATGATTAAAAAGTATTTATTTATAAATACAGGTTTGTGGCAGTGACATGTTCTAAGAACGTGTTATTTATTATAAAATATATAAGTGGTGCAATTTGCCAAAAAATTACTTCACCAAAAAGACTACTTGACCATTTGCCTTTCTATATGTGCTGATTATTTTCCGATAAACCGTCTTCGGCGCTGTGGGATAAAGAGTTGGATCCAGGGGCAGGAATAGATTGGTGTCTAGGTGCCACATCCATGGATTCCAGTCCCATCGCATGGCCAGCTCCTCGTCGAGATCGAGTCCGGGTCTTACATGTTCCGGTACATAGAAGAGTGTCTCCTTCATCTCAAAAACCAGACCTCCTTCGGAATTCGTTGGATGGTTCTGCGGGGACACATGCTCCTCCTGCGCCTGCCCCTTCTGCTCCGGCACCTCCTGCACCTGCACCTTCTGCTCCGGCACCTGCACCTCCTGCGACTGCAACTCCTGCGGTTGCAACTCCTGCGGATGCAACTCCTGCGGTTGCAACTCCTGCGGCTGCAACTCCTGCGGTTGCAACTCCTGCGCATGCGCACCTTTTTGCGGCTCCACGAAGACACCCCGCATGAACTCCATCTCGTGGAAGTACTGCCAATTGCATTTGCCCACGCGGCGCAGCAAGCTGCGATAGTTGCCCCGCAGACCCTTCCACTTGCGCTTGCAAACATCGACGCTGCACTGCATCGCACTGGCCACGTCGTTCCATTCGGAGCGGATTTGATCGCGGCGGAAGGCGATGTTAATGCGAGTGTCCCAAATGGCAGGCCGACTGGCAATCTCGCGCAGGAGATGACTCCTGTCCATTTTCACATCCTGCATTTTGGCAAAAAGTTTGAAGGGCAATTCTCAAAGCTGGAAAATAATATGTGAAGTCCACCTCTAGTTCCATCTCTAGGCCACGCTGCTTTTGGTTCGATATTACCCGGGCTGTCCACTTTGATTCAACGCATTTATAGATATTTACAGTTTTACAAGTTTTAAGTTAATTTATTATTGAATATTTAAATCGTTGTTTGATTCCTTTGTTCTGCAATGTCTACCGATTTCGTAGAATTTTATTTCTGGGGTATCGATTTGCTTTAATGGCGCTAACGATATTTGTTTGGCAACCGTACTGCCAATAACAATCGTATATTGAGTCAAGTACAGTCAGAATTCAAAAAGCAAGCTCTGGCAGTGTTGTAAAATACACAGGTATTTGTTCTATGGGACATTATTTAAATTTTTGAACTTTCACAATACCTTTTAATGGTTAAGATTTTGTTTACCGAAAATTTCGATTTTAAATTCTTCTTTGAGAAAGAATACCCAAATTTACCTCAATAAAAACCAATAAAACGAATATTCATTGAAAATGCCATTTAATTAGTATTCCCCCAACTCCTAAAGTAATGTTTTTTTTTTACACACAAAGAATCCTCACTCCTTGAAATCCCCGAAGATTAGTATTGTCTGGGCTGCAAACACACAATGTTTGTCCACAAAAGGTGGATCGTAAAATGTGTAAAAAGTTTCGAATTATATGTGTGCTTAATGAATTGTTTGTATCCCTTAATCCAGGTCGTAAAACACCAGAAATTTCTTGGGCCGGGCTGTGGCGAATAAAAGTGCTGTAAAAATGCACTAAAAACGTACTGATCAATTGTTTGGCGGCGACGCGACTTCAGGGATTCATCATTTACGAGCGGGATGGAAATTTTTATGATCGCACTTCACATTCGACTTTATCAAATTGCCATTAGAATTCGAATCGGAAACCTTCGGGGCGTGTGTCAGCGGGAGAAAGGACTATTGTGATTAGCCCGTGATCGGCAACAGGAACGGGATCGCATCCTGGCGGAGTCATGAAATTGCACCTTGGCCTCGCGGCAGCTGATGATGCGGGCTTGTCCCACCTAATTTCCCATTTCCCAATGCCCAATACCCATTTCCCAATACTCATTACCCATTACCCATTACCCATTTGCCATGTTATTGTCGTTGTGCATGTGCGAAATCCCGTTCCCGTTCCCATTCCCGATCCTAAAATATGTGCATTGCTATATCGGAAATTAGCGTATTCGCTGGCGAAATTAGCCGCCGATTATGCTGGTCGGCGGTGCCGGGATGCAAATGTCCTGCGGCTGGAGTGCCGGCATTCAACCTGCCTGGGTCCAAAATTATGGGGGTACGAATAGGGTACACTAGCCAAAACATGCCATAAATGTATTACATTTACTAGACTTCAAATTTGGTTAAGTAAGGATGTATTGAAAACATTGCCCAAATGGAAAAAATTGCTATTTACTAGTTAAACATATATTTATAACAAAAATTTAGTTTATTCATTTAGTATTTTAATTTTAAATTCACTTTGAATATTTTATATATAATTATCATAATGTGATTCCTATGAAAAATATTTAAAATGCAGTGATTCAAGTCATTTTGGTTCATTTAGTTTCTCCAAAAATAACCATGATTTTTGTTTATTGAAAACTAAGACCAATAAGTCACCTAGTTTTTGAGCAGTGTAAACTATAAATATTGGTGCGTTAACGTGAAGGGGATCGAGAGTGTATTTTCGGGTATTTTATCCTGTATCCCGTATCCTGTTGTCCCGAGGCACCTGTCTTCATTAGTTGGCTGTCATTTCCTCGAGTCGCTCGATAAGGAATCAATAGGGCAAGAAAGAGAAGGCTAAACTGCGCCAGAAAGAGACGGCAAGCAGGCCACTTACAGGTGCAAATTTGTGCTGTCTGCTCCAATTTGTTTAGACGGCCGGTTCACTAGACTCCATTTGGCGTTTGCATATTGATGAGGCCCAATTTATAGGGCTCCCATTATCGGCTCACCTGCCAACTGGAGAGTAGAAAGTTGAAAGGCTTATGTGGCCACATGCAGGGCAGACCAAATCGGTGATGAAAAGCGGAGAAAACAAACGGTAGCAGGGAAAATGCGAGGGAAATGCTTTCTCGATTATCGACAGGTAGTTCCATTAGTTGACCAAGAGGAGAGACCACATGGGAGGAAAATTTTACTTAGAAATAAGGATGAATTTTATATTTAACGTTATAAGTAGGACACTTTCTCCCACAGTCTAAAAACCTAACCCCCTGTATCCATTAACATTCATTTTCATATTAAATAAATATATTTTTTTAAAACAATTATATATGCAAGAAAAAAAAATGTTGCATAATTAATATTTCTTTATTCACACTACAGCCAGACTTTTTGATTTTATATATCATTTGTTATCATATTTTCTTGATTCAAACATTTCTATCACTTTCAAAATTATTGGTTTTAAAGGATAAATTAATTTCAGAACTAAGTGATGATCCTAAAGTCTTTTAGGGAAGCTGTTAACAAAAGTCATTTGTTATGCGGGGATTAGCCTTAATGGTGGCAAACAAAAATCGCCCGTTCGGTTCCCGTTTTGGACTTGCAACGTGGTTACATCATTTGGCCATTTGTTATCCTCGAAGGACAACCACCCTCTTGCTCCGGATTCTTTAGCTCTCGTTTCTCAGCTCTCAGCTCTCGGTTCTCAGTTCTCAGTTCTCAGTTCTCAGTTCTGGTTCTAGGATCTTCGCATACCTGACTCGACTGTTAATCCTGGCGCAGGATTCCTTGGCTGTCCTGGTCCTGTGTCGAATGCGAACCAGTTTTCCGCTTCGCTGCAACTGACGCATAAATTGCGGCACTTTCCATCCATCCCATTTGCCGGTGGGACAGGACGAAACAGGACTCCTTCGGCTCTACACGGGGAAAAAATATCTAGAAGATTGTTTGGCTCTAACAGGACTAATTAAATATCTTCTTAATTTGTCGAGAATATAGTAATCTAAATTTTGTACTACTAAAAACCTACTAAAATAATCAACAAAAAATAGATCATACGCTAACCTTATCAACACGAAAGAGTTTAGATTAGTTTAGCAACTTGAAATCTCAAATAGATACTTGTCTCAGTTCTATAAAATAACAATAGGAAATTCATTATGCTTGTAGGTTTGTATAAAACATTTAAAATTTTTTTACTAGTTCTTACCTAACATTCATCAGTAGATTTTTAATAATATTGCCAATTTCTGGCAGTGTAAGGTTTCCAGTTGATTTTTCTTTAGCCAACATTTGCGTTCGCCAAGAGGCGCTCTTGGCTTCCCTATTCAAATTGTTTGAACTGGCAATGCGGCACGGTGATTTTTCATTTTCCCGCTTAGGGAATTGGTATAATTTATAGGAGAAGGGTAGAAGTAGAATGCCGGCCACATCGATCAGTTTTACGGCGATTCTGAGCCGTAGGGCACCTGTTTGCCTCCAGCCCGCGATTTTCCACAGCAGCAGAAGCAGCAGCAGCAGGTGCCAGTGAGTTTTTCCCCCGCCAACGATGACATTTACATATTACTAAGGGGCACGTGGCTCCAGGATGCAGGACACTCAGAACACACAGGACACACAGGAGCAGCCTGCTGTTCGGGATCCCGATCTTGGTCCCCGCATGACAATGCTAAGTGGAGATACCCCCACCAAAAACCTTTGCCTTTCGTCGACCCTCATCAAACGAGTCGATTTTATGTTTCCTTTCAAATTTTTCACGCTGCATTTTCCGCTGCTGCTGCTGACCAGCGGGAAACTCAGGCAAGGGTTGTTGATGTCCGAGTTTTTCCCCTTCCCCATTCCATTTCCACTTCCATTTCCATTTCAAGACATTGGCCGATGGCACGCGCTTTTGGTCAGTTGGTCAGCGATTGTTTTCCACCCTTTGACAACGGTGTTGTGACAACGTAAAACGGACAATGGAAAATGGGAAATGGAAAATGGCCAGTGGAAATGCAATTTGAGCCCTAGACAATTGAGCGCAAACCGCGATATGACAGGCCGCGAACGCCTCGAACTTGTTGAATGTTTATTTAAACAATTGAAGAGTTTAAAGGTGAGACAATATTTTCGCTTTTTATTGCAATCAAATTGAATGCCAGTTTTACTTAATAGAAACCTTTTATTTTACATATTTTGGTAATAAGAATGCAAATTAAAGCTGATCGATTCAATTTAAGTATTCCATTTAGGAGAGTAATCCTAGCTTTATATACTTAGATTTATTTGGGTATTCCATTGCTGGAGAATAATCTTAAGTTTATACTTACTCAGTCTATTGATGAACCTTTTTCTAAGCAGAAACTAAGAAACTTATTATTGTTGTGATATCAACGCAAATTAAGTTCAAATTGGGTATTCTATTACTGAAAAACATCCTTAGTTCTCTGTTTCTAAAAAAAACTCTTTAATATTCAAACGAAATTACTTAGATCACGCTGGAGTAGCAGAATGCCTAGAATAAAATGTGACTTCTAAGCAGCTGCTGTAGATAGCGATGTTTTCAGGTTTCAGAAAGGAGTTCCCTTCGATTTCCGCTGCACGGGCAATTAGTTAATTAAGCGCAACTTCAAGTGTCCCACTTGGAAATATATCACACGAGAATCGCTCCTTGTTGACATTTCTGCAGCATCATCCAGACAATTTGCATATTTAATTGAAGAATCCTCTGCGCCCAAAAAAAAAGGGGAAAACAAATTTTTGCTTTTTTTTTTTAATAAAATCTTAGAAATTTTTCGGTAGGCAAAGGAGAGGAAAAGGAGGTAAAAATCGAATTAAAAAGCGAAGAAGTTCGAGGCGATGGAGAATCTCTGGCTGGTGACGAGCGAGTGGAAACCCCGCGGCGGCCATCAAGCAAAAGGGTTAAATGCAAATGAATGCAGTTCCTCAGAGAGGGCAGCACAAACACAAAAAATACAAAAAAAAAAAAAACTGGGCGATCCGGGAACAGGACACAAGGATCTACGAACTCGGACTCGAACTCGATCCAACCCTCGAATCCCGAGTCCCGAATTCCGATACCCGAATCCCGGGCAGTTGTCAACCGCGCTTGACAGATCTCCTGGCCCGAAACTGGATTTTGGCATTGAGGTTCCTTGCCTTCTTTGCATGGCATACGTGTTCATGGGGCCTCCTCAACAAATTAAT